AAGAGATCTATACTTTTCTCTCTATTAACGTTAAAAATTATCCTACTAATTTGTTCTTTTTTTTTTTTTGTTTGGTTCATGCAGATGTAGACTGATTGATTAACACCAAACGCATAAACTCAGGATTTAATTTGTGATAAAAATAAAGAAAACTCACAAAAAAATTAATTTTAAATTTTGATTTAAACGTAATAATAAATTAATTTTACTTTGCAGCAGAAAACTAAAAAAAAAAACTAATTTCAATTTTCAAATTTGCGTTTGTTTAATCACTCTCTTAAATATAACATATCAGATAGCGCAAGATTTTAGAACAGTTCTAAACGCTCTCTAATTTAAAACAGAATTGCTCTCAGATCTCCATTCTGTTGTGGTGATTCAAACAAATAATCTCGAATCATTAGATGAAAATGAAACTTTGTAATTAATTGAATATAAATTTAAAGACTATTCTTCAAGTAAGTAAGGGATAACCTTTCATTTAAAAATATATTGTCAAATGAAATGCAGTTAATATTTTATATAAATTTAGTTTGGATAAATTTTTAGAGAAGTCTTTGTAAAAAAAAATTAGTATAAATTTTTTTTTTTTATAATTTACTCAAATTGTGCAGACAATTGTGGTCAAAAGTCAACATCTCCACCATTGTAATATATTGCAGTAAAAAAAAAAGTAAGTTACACATACTCAAGAAGAACTCGGCCTTACAGTTTTTGTCACACAATTTGCATATATAAAGTCTGCTACGAATGTCAAACTCATTGCTATGCAACCTCTATTCAATTACCCACGTTAAGCAATGATGACAATCTTAAATAAGTAAGGATGAATGTCTATATAAGTAAATGAGAAATCCATGTTTAAGGTATGCTAATCATCTTTAGCTTACATAAAGAACCTTTCTTGAACCCTTTATCACTTGAGCATATAAATGTTTCTTTATCAAATCCAACAACTTGCTTGAATTTTTTCACTACTCAAGAGAACATTCACATAAAAATAGAGTAAATTCTTAAGTACCGAGTCATTAATAAATACTACAAGTTAACAAAATTAAAATGAACAAATGTATGTAAAGTGTAGTAGAAACAAACTACTACTCACCCAAAAAGAATTTAAGAATTTAGACGCATGTTGTAGAAGTTGGCCCAGTGAGGTCCATCTTGGGGCATCAAATGAGAGTTTACACTTTTGCTGTCTAATTAATCCACCCATCATTCCACTTCCTTCACTTCGCTCTCAGGAATTATGGTGAAAGAGATAAGACAACTGCATTCCTAGAGAACAAAGGGCCTGGACCTATGCCAGATTTAGGGTCCATGAAATCAGCCCTCTGAAAGTAGCAGAATCAGGCGCACAGTAGCCGGGACCAATTTTATTATATATGGCCACGAATCAATACTGCAACCTCACCCATTCACTATTTTCAATCAAACCTGTTAATTTCATTTGGTTTTAGCCTCAATTTGCTCCAATCAAGCCCGGTCACTGTCTTCCTTCTACACCCTTAACTGGTGGTCCACTATACATCTTGGACAACAAATTAAACTTTTAACATAACAACCCCTTTCATTTGGTGTTTCTTCGTTTAACCATTATCATGGTCCCTGTCAAGCTGCACATGCCTTCATTATAAGTATATACGTTTTCAATCCCATGATCACACGTTGGGATCCAACATGGCGAGATGTCACTTCTTTCATTGTGGGTCTCAAACTTTATTATTTGGGGTTTTTTAAAGGGCATTTGAATAATTTTCCATAGTGCGAGTATATATGAAGTCAATTAAATTACGTAATTTTAGAATGTAATTGAAATACACTATTTTATATTGTCTTGTAATAATGATTAATAATGTAAAAATCTTTATACTGATATCGAAGTTAAATTCTTTGTTTTAAATGTGAAATCTATGTTAAATTTCTTACATAAAATATATGTGACTTGTCCCGTTATTTATTATATAAGTTGACAAATCGTCTATTAAAAATCTTCTACAAAAGGCAAACTAATGACAACCAACAAACATATAAAACCGGAAAGAATGTGGAGATGCAAAGAGGAAAGTATGGAAATTAGAGGTGGACATGTGGTGTTGGTCACAAACGACACTACGCAATCATGGCTTCATTGAGTTGGGAATGTCCTCATTGTCCTGCCAACTAATGGTGCCTTTTTTATTTTGATCAGCATCAACTAATGGTGCTTTATTAGTTTAATGGGTAAATCTCACGTGCCATGTACACATGGCATGAGCATAACCATTCTCCTCTTCTAATTAATAAAGGAAATGAGAACACATAAAAGTGGCGTAGAGTTCATGAACTTGAATCATAGTACTCATTTTATGATTAGTTTACTGAACTTTGCGTTCAGAAACTTCAAAATATCATAAGAATATTCCTTCTTCCACAACTACTTTCTTTAGAATATGATGTACAGTTTTCTTTTTTTTCAGTGGAACGTGCATTAGTTAGACTTTGCATCATGAGATTTTTGTAGCCACTTGTTAGGAATACATTACGAAGAAAATCCGAAATTGCTAATGTTCCATTGAGCACTACGTATGTTGATCAGTTTTTTCGGTTCCAACAATGTGAAATGTTCTAAATCTTCATATTGATCATCAATTATACTAACAAACTACACGATCCACTTTGTTTGCATTTAGAATATGAATACCAAAGTCATAAGGGGAACAAAAATCTGCATATTTATCTGAAGTTTAGTGTCACCTATATACATATATATAAGTTTGGGCATGTTATACATGAATAGTCCAGTCCCAACGTAAATCTAATGTTTCCTCTCCTATTAACAAGGGATGACCTTGAGCTGCCATTGACAAAGACAACCACATTGAATCTCTGATGAATGAGTGGTAACTTTATTAGAAATATAAATATATATTTTAAGCATAATCAGTACCGCCGGTCAGCCCCTCTGGCTTACACAGGCGACTAGGTAAATTGTGAAGAGTAAAGACGACTTAACTTCGAGTGCCTAATTTATGGGGGCCCATGATATCAATATATCAAAATGACATGTTACAGTCAATTTCTACTAAGTGTAAAGCAGTGATCAAGATCCAAGTACTTTCTGGAGTCAAAGTGGCAAGAATAGACCATAGATTTCCAGAACAGCACAAAGGATGCTTGAAAGGAACAAAGTTTGGTCATTGTTTTTTTGCCACTTCCCAAATTTTGATGAATGCCATCCACTACAGGCCAACTTTTTTCCAGGAATAAGGAAGCAACACATGATACTTCCTCTTCAACATTAAAAGGAACCAAAGCTTGTGTTTTGTTTGTGCCCACTTAAACGTTGTGGGCAGCAAGGTCGGTCCACTGGTTGCCTTTCATGTGTTCAGCACAACACTGCAATCTGTGAGGACATGTCTATTTTGCATCCACTGATACAAGTGCTGATTGAGTTTAATAGCAATTATCTCCCAACAAACTAATAATAATTCAAACGCTTAACAGTAAAAATATCTGCAATTTTTTAAAATTATTGTTAGCGTGACTATTCACTATTCACTGAACTAAACATGGGCTATAACCTTGAGAACGTTATAATTGTCTTTATGGGCACTCCAATGTTAAGATAACGATCCCCACTGCCAAACAGGTCTTAACACCCTATGATTGCAACCAAAAACCAATAAATTAACATTTCCATGTGATTAGCTCACGATAGTACTGTACAGTCATGTCTCATTTACTTGGCCACCAGCTTTAATAATGACCAATTCTAAATTAGAACCAGCTCATATTTTTTATCTTCAAAAACAATATAACCATAAACAATCCTCATTGATATTTACATCCTGTATCTCTACATATTTTACCCCATTTTTACTCTCTTTCTTCTTATCCCATCACATATCAGATGTCAAAATAAATATCACAAGACCAAAATATCGTATAAAAACAAACACGTCCTGAGAGTTTATATATTATATAATATGATTATCATAACAAACCAAATTTTCTCACTATCTCAGATTTTTAAGAAAATCACATTATTTATCAGTTAATAAATAAGACCACGTCCTAAAGTTCTATTGAATGCTCATTCTCGTTCAGCTTTCGAACAGGAGACCAAAAGCAGCAATTACCTGGGAATCAAAAGTTGATGCAGTTTCGAAAGTTTTAAACAGTTCATGTTACATCTTTAACAGATCTCGAGAATGTATGTTTCTAAATGCTGCATGGAAAACTTTGAAATTATATCACAGATTGAATGAACTAAAACAAGATAAAAAATATATACATATATTGCATCCTTACTTGAATATTCACATTAAAATAAAGTTGCGTTTTTTTTTTATAAGTTGATGAAATGATAAAATTTTCAATAAAAAAAAAAGGTAAATTCACTTTATTTCATTTCATACCTTCAAGTTTTCGAAAAGAAAAAAAAAATACATCTAGTAATTTCATTTCATACAATTTTAAACAATATAAATAATGGCAATTAGCGTCACCTATCTTCATTCCATCCATCATTTTTTATAAATCCAAAAATAACCTGGGCAGATTATTTGTGGATAGAAACCCCTTAAAATTGCAGGTGGTGAGACCATGCCAGACCAATGAAAAATAGATGGCACGTAATACATTAACATGAAAAACTGAATTCTCGATTTTCTTCTCCCTAGCCACATTTTTCACCTTGTCAATTTTCTTGAAAATGGCATCAGCTATACATCATAGGCCGGAGAGGAATTCCAATCTACAAGGATTCATTCTCTTGACCATCATGCAGAATGACTAAGTATTGTGGTAACCCAACCCAAAGGAACCCCAAATCACATTAATCAGCTAATTAATCTCATATGTGCAGGACAAGGAAAGGCCATAATTATTTATACGAACTCCTATTTTTAGTTGTTCAGGGATTTACATATATCACCAGCCAGAATCACCAAGTTTAGCACTATTATTGAATGTCGATTACCTTAATGCACTCAATTTATGTAAACATGAATCATGGTTCAGAACAAATACTCGACCACAGACAATCTTGAAGAGCCAGGCCATGACACTTGGAGCCTCACCATGCTATCAACATAATAAAATTCCACAGGTTCTCCATCAATCTTACAACTTACCGGCTTCTCTGATGCAAATACCCTCATTTCCCCATGCCCTCTTACCTCAATCCTTGTCAAAATTTCCTGTTTATCAAATTCTGTCGACAGAATTGAGCCCCCAGAGTTAAGCATATTTACCAACCCAATTGGAGCAAATTGGATTGATTTTGTGGGTAAGACAACCACGGGAGAAACTGTCAAAAGCTCAAAACTAAAAGGCTCAAGTGAAACCTCAACACTCTCTGCATACTTCATCAGCTTCAACTTATCATCCTTAAACATGTACACAGCAAATACTTCTACCCCTTTGATGCAGATTGGGTGGTTCCCTTTGCTCCATTCAATGTCTTTAGGACTTGCAGAGCAAGTCACAGAGTGTGAATAGTCAGAGGCACTCTTGTTTCTCCTGGTAATAGGGCACCACCCTCCTCCTTGGCAATTGAACAGACCCAAAACCCCGGAATACTGTAAACACAAAAAGAAAGAGTAATGGCACACACATTCTTGTGGAAACTGATACACAATAGCATGAAAAGGAACACATGTTAATTATGTCAATGTCTGAGTCTTACTTTATTAAGGTTCCAAATTTTCAGCATTGTTTTGCCGTCATGTAAAGGGTCAACGAATAAGCAGTCTCGGGTGGGAAGTGCATAATGTTGACAACGCAAAATGGAGCCATCAGGTAGAACAAGCTTCTTAAGCAACTTGAAGTTGTGGTTTCCAACAGAATCGCTTACATAAACTGGTCCACCAGAGATGGCACGAGAAGCAGCATGGAATTCAGCACAAGCATGATCTGATTGGAACATGTCCCAATCTGGGTGTATAAAATTTCCCATCCACAAACTGTTGTAAGCACAGTGCACCATGTGACATCCTTGTAGCCAATACGTACCGTTTGGATCTCCAGCAGGATCCGTACACCAAAAATCATCACCTGCATAATGAATGTATTACAAGGAATAAATATCTATACTATAAAGTAACATTGATTTTGATTACAATAGTGTGTGTGATTTAAGTTTCATAACGTACGTACCAACGCGTCCAAGGGATATGGTTTCTGTACCAAGGAACATGAAGTCATTGCACTGCTGCATGCTAGCAATGACACCATTGCCTTTGAAATGCTTCCTCACGGAAGCAGTGAGTGCTTTGTGATATGCTTTGGCGAGTTCAACACGACCACCGTAGTCCTCCGATAGCATCTCTAGAACCTGCCATTTAAGCGAAAATTCTAATTGCACTCTGAATTCATTGCTATTTTTTACTCCTACCATTATGGACTCCAATCTTAATTTCTCCATTAATTTTCGAAGACTAATTAAACTAAAGAAAATGATAACCAATGTCTTAAAATACTCGCTAAGGAATGAGAAGTAGAAAATTTTTACAACTTTCATAAATGTAGCTCTACCATGAGGATGATCATATTGTTTTTTATAATTTTTAAATATTAGTTAAAATTTATTTCAAATCACAATTTATGAGCATGAATTAGAGTTAGGGACTTTTTTTTTTAAAAGTCAAATGCTAATCAAAGTCCAAGAAATCAAGAGTAAATGTTGTTATTATTATTATTATTAATGTTTCTACTTTCGGTGTTTTTTTTTTCTCAATGCATTTTAATATAACTTATAATAAAAATATTTTACTTTAAATTTCTTAATACATGCTTTCGAGTTACCGATTAATAACACCCTTTTTTTAATCTTAATAATTTTAATTGATAATAAAAAGTGTATTTAAATGATGATATTAAAGATAATATCATTAGCATTTCTCATAGGTGTGTATCATTTTCGGATGTGCAGAAGGAAAAAGCTAACATAATTTTATTCATATGTAACATATGGATCTGTTACATATGGATCAAATTATGTACCACAAGGCTGTAATTAATTTTGCAATGTTAGCTTGATATATTTAAAAATAGTTATAATATGTTCTTACAATTTATTTGAAATAATCATATTAATCATCAAGTAAAAATAATAAATTTATTTGTTTATGTTTTAGCTTTGAACCGATGAAGTATGGTACGAATTGAATGGCAAGAACTTTGCAAGTTGCAACAACAGAATGTAGGCAAACAATAATAAAACAGGAAATGGATTTGGAGAAAGACTCACATGTGTGACATCAATCTTGACACCGTCAATTCCCACAGATTCGAGATGAGAATGGAGACCCTCATACAACAAGTGCGCCTCTTGCGGTGCCACCAACCCGACCCCATTCTCCACTATCTTCACCACCGCCAAATCCCTCATAGTCATCTCAACCCCTTCAGACAACTTAGTAGCAACCACCTTCGACTCAGGCATCCCTACAACGTTGGGCCTAAGCCCACCCCAATACCCACAAAGCGCATGCCACACATACACATACTCCAAGGCCTTAAACTCCTCTTTAAGGTCCCTCACAAAGGCACCCATCCCTCCATCATAGGGCACCCTACGAGACCGATACTCCCTAAACTTACAATTTTCTTCAAATTTTATAAGCCTATTTAGCATTTGCTCCCCAGGAATGGAACAATTCAAGCTTCCTTGGTCCGTAACGGGTTCATCATCACGACAAAAAGTTTGCCAACCATCATCGATGATTACAAAACCCGGAGGGCATCCACCTTGCACAAGGCCCTTCACACCTTCCCACACTCCTTGAGGGTGCACCTTGAGGTAAAACGCATCCCAAGTGCACCACCCCAACTTGTCCACAATACCCGGTGGGGTTTTTTCTTCTAGAAGCTTGAACGATCCAAGATGGACTCGCATCACTTTCATTGCTTCGTTCATTAAACTAAAGGGATCATGGTGCACGTGAATGTACAAGGAGCTTCTGAAGGTGGACTCGGTGACACGTGTGGACCCGCTCTCCATGCAAATGTCCACGTCATCATGGAGTCCTGCTTGGAGAGAGGCTCTGAAGGGTCCTTCCAGGAGTGGCAAGAGGAGGACATAGGGGCGTCCCTTGTCTATATCGTTCTCTAGAATCATCATTTGGGTTTCGTGTTCCACGTCACGCCCATTGGTTCCTGACCAATGAGTGCTCCACCATAGTTTGAAACGGAATATGCTCGTGAATTTTATTCCCCTCAGCTTCCCGATTGGAACCACGTGGCGGCTTCGTGCCGTGTCCGCGTTGAACCCCACGAAGCAACCCACGGTGGTGGTTGAAGAATCGTGGGGCGGTGGAGTGGCGGTTGTTATGTTTGGTGGGACTTCAGTGAGGATTGGATGGTCATTGGCAAAGAAAGTTGAGGCTTCGAGTTTTATGGAAAAATGTGAATCAGCTTGGAGAAGCGCTTTTTCTTCAAGGGTGGTTAGCCTTGGCGCCATGGCGAGTCTTCAATTCAGTAGAGAGAGTGTTCCTATAGAGAACAATTAAGAGAGGGAGGTTTCAAGTTTCGGCAATGAAAAGAAAAGTGAGTTGATAATATATAAAGGTGAATGCGCTGGTGGAAGGGGCATCTAATGCCCTTCTTAGCTGGACTATCCTAATATTAAAAGGATCGTGCACATACAGTAGTTTAATTTAAGTGACAGTGATTCTATCTGTTTCGTTTTTTTTTAAAGTTTAGGTTTCAATAATAGAATAATTTATTACCATTTCGAGATCGTTAATGGATGACACGAAAGTATAATTGAAAACTTATAACTAACGTTATTTCTAGATTTAAATGATTCAGTGACTCTTACATTCTAATAAATGAAATCCCATTCAACTCGTTTTGCGATAAGCTGTATCGTTTGTGACTGCTTTCCATTCTTCACATCACACTTCCTGCAAGAGTCTCCTAGAAACTCAAGAAAACTCGGGCCTTTGAATCCTCAATCTCTTGTCCGGACCAATGAATATGCATGCATCTTTATTCTCAATACCCATACAAGAAAATTCTTAACTAGCCACGGGTTTATTTACTCCTGCTTAAATAATTCAATAATCTTACTTCAGTTAATGAAATTAAAATTATATATGCTTTTTATAAACAAAAACTTATCAATCTAAATAAGATAAAAAAAATTTACTTTATGAAGTAATTTAAACAAATTCTCATATTTTTAGTATGTAAACTATTATTTGATTAGTATGAGGGTATTATTCTCACTAGTTTTTCTTATAATGGGCAAGCCAGATCAGATTTTACCTAAACCAATCGATGAAAATTGAAGATGTAGACTTCATTATTTTTATAAAAAAAAAAAAGGGGACATTAATGGCAAGGTAAACGTTTAGAAAGGTTTGAAGGTGATTGTATAACGAGATTGATTTAATTACTTGCCGAATTTTATTATGTTATTCTTAGCTATTTGATCCTATAATCATCTATTTTTTGGGTTCCTGATCATGTAATTACATTCCTGTTTTGTTCCCGATTGGGATTATACAGGGTTGAGTTAGGTTCAAATTAGATGGACTCTGTCTAAGTTGATATTTGGTATAGCTAGCTATCCGTAGCACCCCTGCTCGCAAAGATTAGGCTACAGTACAGGTTTGGTCTAAAATATATTGTTCATATAATTGATGTGATTTCATACATGAGAAATAATTATCTGAGTATTAATGTTTAAATATTGCTAATTAATAATGTGTCTTAACGTGACTTGATTATTTTCATTTCACATACATGAACCATGAAACTTATGAAGCTTTATAGTGTAAACAACTGAGAAAAAAGGAACAGTCTGATCTATCACAAATTTGCAAAAAGGTGCAAAAGTCTAACTGGGGAGTTGTTATATCGATTGACTGTTTCATCTTCTTGTATTGTTTTTGAAGTTTGTCTTCCAGATATTTTAAGAGGCCGTGATCCCAAAAGGGAGACAGAACCTTCAGGAACAGGTTAAGGATTTAATTTAACATATCCAAACCTCAAAACATTAACATCGCGTGTTATTAAATATAATTAAATTTATATTTAATTTATTTTTATTATATATAGGTATATTTCATAAATATCTTTTATAGTTAAAGGAAATAATTTGTTGTTACTTCATTTTAATAATTATAAAATATTTTCCTCAATTGAACATGAGTTGGTTAAATAATTAAAATTTTTAATGAAATAATATCTAATATTTATTTTCTTATTAAAATAACAGAAATTATTCAATAAATAAAATATTTAATGAAATAATATCTAATATTTATATTTTTGTTAAAATATACGATCTAAAAACCAAAAAAAAAAAAAATCCAAAGATGAAAGTTGAATAAGATGAGTGAATAGTGTTGGAACTTGAAATAAATTTTACTGATGAGGTAACGGATAAAACAAAGAAAAAGGATAAACATAAGCGATATAGCTGTGCGGTGACGGGTTACGTGTCATAAAGACAAGAAAGCGTAAAACCGAAAGCATGCTTGCTTGCCACCTCACAAATTACGTAAGAGTTCTGCTGAACAAGTTCCAAGCTAAATATTATTTTTCTTTCAACAATAAATTATATGTAAAATTATGAAATATTTTTATAAAATTGTTAAAATATTATTTTTAATTTTTTAAATAGTATATGATAAATGCTAACAAGAAAATAGATAAAAAAATTAAAATATTATAAATGCACATCTTTTCATAATTTTTAATGTACTTTAAAATATATTTTAATATTTTATTTCTATTTGCTATATTAAAATGATTTTAAATGTGTGTTTAAATGTGCATAATAAAAATTGCATATAAATTTTTGTTTAAAATTAAAAAATATAAAAAATTCAATATAATAATATTTTAAAATATTATAACATTTATTAATTATTAATTCTTTATATGTGTGTTTTAGAAACGTTGAAAATTGTATTATAAATATTATTTTCATTTTCCATAATTTAGCAACTTTACTTATTATAATTATTTTATAAAATTAGTAAACAAATAAATTTCTTTACAGCTGTACCTTTAGTAATCAATATTTCTTAATGAAAAAACAATAAATGAGGAAAGTCTTGTCAATAATAAAATTATATGTCTATGATTATTTAATTTATTTAAAATTAAAAATAAACAATTGTTAATATAATATACAAAATTTAATATATAAATTGATAAATTTAGTATTAAAAAAAGATATTAAGTAGAATATGTATTCAATATTTATTTTTAAAGTAAATTTGTAGATATTAAATATTAACAAATAAAGAGTATAATAAAAATTAAGTAGATTATTTTTTATTTATTTATAAGAAATAACTATTAATATTAAATTTATTATAATGATAAAAAATGATAATTCATTTTTAAATTTATAAATTATTAAAACATGTTTATACTATTTATTTATTATTAAATATATATTTATAAAATTTGCACCTATCATCTATAAGTGCATATAATTATTTATTTAATAAATAAATCATTCATTTAAGTATTTAATATTTTGCTTTTTAAATATAATATATATTATGATATATAATTATTTTTATTAATTTTAATAAATTATTTATTTATCTTTTATAAATAAAATTACAGACAATACTAGAATTTTATAAAATTGAGAATATTATTTTTATAAAAAAATATTAAACATAATAAATGAAAGATAGAACATAAAAGATATTTAATATTTATTTTAATTGATATCTTTGAAGCACTCAGTAACGTAACGTACAAACGAGCGAATGTGAGTCAAGTGTTTAACATTTAAGTTTAGCCTATGAAAAAAAAAAAGTTCAAGCTTGACTATGTATTTAAATGTGTCAAATTTAAAGTTTGAGATTAACTCAATTAATTTTGAAATTTAAACTTAACTAATTAATTTGTTTATATTTTTTTTATAAGTTTTGAATATTTTGTTTATTAATTTAGCAACTTATACCTTGGATGTATTTAAAAAATAAAATAATAATATGTTAATTGTTTTGAATATTTTGTTTATTAATTTAGCAACTTATACCTTGGATGTATTTAAAAAATAAAATAATAATATGTTAATTTTTTTAACGAAAAGAAAGTATGGTAACAACACAGTGTTAATATACACTCGTTTTTAGGGAAGTATGTTAGTAAATTCCACATTTGACGAAAATTGTAGTTATAGTTTATAAAATTGTACTTGTTAGTCTATTTAAAGATTTTATTTTATTGTCTTGATATAAATTTAATTTTATTAAAATATTTTGATGTAATTTATAGATTTATTTAAAAATTATAATTTTTTTCTAAAATAAATTTTATGTCAAATTTAGGAAACTCAAGTGAGACCTTAAAAAATGCCTATATTGAATTAAATTTAAATCTTAAATTTCAAATTTCAAATTTCAAAATAGGTTTAAGCTGAGACTTATAAAGTTCAGATTAATTTAACCTATTTTTATGGATTTTTTTAGAAATAAAATAAAAAATATATAAAACTTGAAATACATCATTTTTATTTTAATATACAAATCGTTCAAGATATACATGATTTATGTTAACACGGGACATGCTCACAGAAAAAAAAAAAAACATATTTAAAGTTTTATATTTATTATTTTATTTTTAAAAATGTATTATTTTTTTTCTAATAATATTTTTACCATATTTTTTTTACTCGAACCAGTTTTATTTCTTGTGCGTTTAACTTTCCTATCTTTAAATCCGCATTGCACCCAGCTTGAAACTCATTCACATGTATCTCCGTCTAAACAGATAACGGCTCTTGCAAATCATCATATTCCATCAAATTAGAGGGAGATAGGTTACTATCAAATTTATAAATCAAACTGGACTAGCTGGTTGAACTGAAAAACTGGTAGAACAATTTAACTCAAAAATGGAAAAAAAAAAATCGACTTAGAACTAGTTTAAAAAGTTCATGCATTATGTTTACTTCAAAATTAGTATTTAATATTCTATTCCAGACAAAACACCCTCTTATTATCATATTCTCATCTTGCGGGTACAAACCGGCGGATCACAGCAACATCACAATTGTTACAAAATATAATTGCTGATGGAAATCGTCCCCAGTATCGTAATTCTTAAACCTTTTTTTGTCGTTGACCTGGAATTGCCTCGTGGGTAGATTACACTGATTTTTGGCTGATCCCCAATGGCACCATTATAACATCATCATATGGCGTATATTGACACGGACAGCTATTTCAGTGCGCCCGCATTAGAACTGAGACTGGAGATGGATTAATTCTCGACAATTTGAATGATAAACGAGACTACACCACCATCGTTTCTAACATAATATTCTATTTCATAAAAAAAATAAAAAAAATAAAAAAAAATAAAAAAAAACACCATAAATTTCTAAAGATCTAATTGTCACGAGTACCACAGGAACCACGAGCATATTCCATATGGACTGCGGCGCAATAGGAAAATCATTCCTCTTGCGTATATAAAATTGTCATTCGCCAAGAAAAATTTCGAATTATAAATTGGACTTAACGCAATATACAACTATTAGTGAATACAAAAGAAAGAATTAACTGTCTCTGACAAAACCTTCAAGTCAAAAGAGATATCAGTTAGCCTCTTCCGTAGGTGTAGCTTCATCTTCATTCCTATTAGATGATGGATCTGTTCTCCCGTCCTCCACGACGCTTTTTCGTTGCAACTCATCTTTCAGTCTTTGGATCTCCTGATCCTTCTCTTCTAATTTATCTTGCAACATAAACACCTGCATTCAAACCCATTGAAGTTGGGATACTAAAGTTATTTCCTCAAACGTGTAAACAAAAATTCAACAGAGTAAATCCCAAATAACATAACGTATACTTCGATATCAAATGGGAATTACTTTCACAAGAAAAATATAATTTTGAGACAGTGGGAGATTTTAAAAGAATGGTGAATGGATATCATGCGTAGATATATTTATTAAAAAGTAATTTGACTTAAATATATTTTTCATGCCTGAAAATGTACTGTTTTTAAAATTTAGTTCCTATTTAAATTTTGTAGTCTACAAAAATTATAAAATTCATGATTAAAATTTTTATAGGCACTAGCAAAAAAATAGTTGAGCCAGCTTCAAGAAAAAACATACTTAAGCCAAGTAATTAAAGATTGTCTCGGTTATAGTATTGGGCAAAATTACTTCTTCCATGTAAAATTATAAATATATATATATATAAAATTACAGAAGCGGATAGGTTGACCCTTACTAAGCTACAGATGACTTACACACCAGCAATAATCGAACCCAAAGACCATTAAACCAACCCAGTTCAATCTAACGGTTGACCCTATTGTTTAACCATTATAAATAGGAGAAAAAGTGAAAAACCGTACAAAAAGAGGATTGTCTACAATTGAACTTCAAACAAAAGTAACAATTGTTATTTCCATTCAAACAGGGGTTTCTGAATTACAACATATGCAAACGCCCTTTTCAATTTTGTACCCAAACCAGCTGAAAACATTCAAAATGCATCTCCCATGCAAACACAATCCCATATTCCAAAACTGATTAATGAAGCTCAGGGGCAGTATAGGTTTCAAGTTGGTACTTTGACCAAAGAATATATTACATTGGAAAACACTTTCTCAGTAGGGTAAACTTAAAAGCATTTGAACTTTCGCAAACTTTTCCAATAGAAAACCAAAAATTTGCTGCCAATGAAAGATCATAAAATCTTCAAAAAATGACAACATGGCAAAAAATAAGACACATATATAGGCAACGTATCAAATGAAAGGAATTTCTAATATGAAAGTGAGATAATGAATCTTGACCAATAAATCTAATCATAAATGGTTCAGACTAAAACATAAAAGTCCTGTGACATTTTAAAGTGATCATCAAATATCTTTTAATCTTTGATCATTAATGTATAGTTGTTGGTCAAGATTTATCCATCATCTCCCATTAAAAAACTACTCACTAGATATGTCCAATATGTGTGTTTTAAATAAAACAATTATTGAAAATTTTTAATTATATTATTATCAACAATTTAAAAACAAATGAGCAGCTAAAATTTCACATTTGAAGTAAAAAATTATCCATGAAAAATTATACTCAGTTGTTTCACGTCTAAGACTTTAATTTTAGAATGATTTTTTTCATTAATTTAAAAATTAAAGCTTTGATTGCATAAATGTAAACCCAAAAAATTGTATATCACTCATTAGAAACTAAATGAAATTTATTTCATTAGTTTGTTAAATTGCCCATGATGCAAGAATACCATATAAATGTTTTTTCCCAACACAAGTTTTGTTGAGGTTTTTTTCCTACAATAACACTAATCTACAGTTCTCAGAAACATTGTTTAGTAAGAAACAAATAAAGCCTAATGGCAAAGCAAACATGCAGTGAAATATTTAAATAACATTAAAATGTGAAGGTAGGGATAAGGGGAAACCATTTCATTGGATCTTTCCACATCATTTGTCAATCCATCCATATGCTTCTGCAACCCTGTAGTCAATTTTAAGGATTAAGATTACACAAATTGCTAATGCACAGAAATAATTATAGATATCTCTATTACTTTGAACGCCTTATTTTATAGCCCCCACAATAATATTATTGATCTGTGGTAGGACATTTGGAATGAATATTAACACATGATTATAAATAAACTTTAATCAATCTGATAAAGTGACAGGAAACTAGAAGACACTGAGAATCTAGGGTAAAGGGTCAAAGCACTAAAATGCCAAAACATAGTGTGATGAAATCACCAAACAACAGACCTTCAAATTGACTTCTTAGTTCTGCATTTTGGTATTTCTGCAACGAAAGTTTCATAGCTAATTCATGCATCTGTGCACCAAGAGAATAAAAAACATGGCAGAAAAAATAAGACTGTCAGCATCAATTAAGCAACAGCCAATATTTGAAGAAAATATTAAGTAAATTAAGCTTAATTGCGTTTAATAGTTAACACATGTAACATTACTTCCAGTCACTAAATGCCCTGAACTTTTTTTTCCATCTGCACATGTTATTTGTATAAAAAAAACATGGTAAAGCATTTCACTAATACAAATGTATGCTCTCTCTCCCTGTGTGTATGTGTTTATGACCCTTGCTAAATCAGGGAAGGAGAAAACCAGCTCCCAAATGAATGAGATTAAAAAGGAAACAAATAACAGTTGGAACTTAGAAGCATAAAGCAAGTAATAGAGCCTCGTCACCTTGCCCTCAGAAGCTTGATTCCCAATCTCCTCGTTTTCCTCCTGTAGGGTTCTACACTTAGCCATCAGCATCTTCCCCATCTTGCTTTGGGGTGTAAAATTTACAGCAGCAATGTTATCTTGCAACTCCTTTACCTTTTTATCCTTTTCCTCAACTAAATTCTATGTTAAGATTGGAACTCTTGTAAGATACACTTAAAGGAGTAAATCACCAATGTAAATAACGTCAATAAACTACTAAAATAAATTGCTAATACATTCAAGAAAAGAGGATATGCAAATCATATAATACTTTAGAAATAAATAAAACATGTACAATAATATATTATCTTAAACCACAAGAGAAAGCCATCAACACATACTAAATCTGAACCATTAGATATCAACAGTAGACATGTCTATAAGGTACACACATTTCAGAAGCTTCAGTTAGCTCCCTCTGGATTCATCACTGAAATTTGAAAGTGAGTATTAATAATTGCCAGCTGAAAACCCCATTTATACACGTTAGCATTTATGGTTTGTAATTGAACCCATGCTCAAACTAGGAAGCATGTTTACCCTCTTCCATTCAAAATTTTATAAAAAAAATAAGTTCCATTTCATTTTGTTACATCCGATTATCTGAGCTCTGAGGTAGTAAAATGTCTTTGCAAGTTTTCCAGTGAACAAAGAATGGAACTACAATTAAGAAGGGGAAATAAAAGAAAGAGCAATGTTCATAGAGGATGAAAAGGATGACAAATCTTCACACATCTCTGTCACGATAAATCTACAACTAGGACTAATATTTTCCAAATACAACATGAGATACGACTCAATCCCCACTTCCTTATGTGTCAGAAGACCAAGTTTGATACATTAGAAAGAAATCAGAACAAAGTTTAATCACAAACCTTAAGCCGTGTGAACTCTTCGTGAACTGCTGGATCTAGTAACAACCTCCTTGCCTGCAAAAAAAAATAGCAAAAGGAAATACAGCACTACCATTTTGGGGAGAGCCAAAAAAGTAAAATGAAATACAGCCCAATAGATTTGTAAGTTACACAGCAGCATTAATTTTAAAGTTTCAACTAATCTAATACACATGAGGAATGAAGATATTAACACACATGCCACAAATATAAGAACATTGACAATAAATTAAGCAGTAAAAGTATAGCAGAGTCACCTTCATTCAATGTTATCAATGGCGGATGGCGGGTTACGGCGGAAAACAAAAACTGCCATAAAATTATGGCGGATGCCATGGCGGGTTATGGCGGAATAATGGCGGTCATATATATATATATTACAAAATGTGATATAAAAGTAGAAAACTAACTACATATAAAAAGAAGGTTTTGAGAAAAAAAGAATAAAATGGTTGTACAATAGTGAAAAAAAACTTAAGTTATAAAAGAAAAGTAGAGAATTAAAATAAATATGGAGAAGGAAACTTGGAAGTGAAAACAGAAAAATAGAATCAAGAAAACAAAATAATAAGGAAAAACGAAAAAAATGGGAGAGTAAAACAGAATGGGAGAGGGAAAAACATAACTGAAAAAAAAAAAATAGGAGAGGGAAAAACTAAGAAAGAGGGAACAATAAGCTGAAGTTATAACAGAAAAGTAGAGAATTAAAATAAATATGGAGAAAAAAACTTGGAAGTGAAAACAGAAAAATAGAAACAAGAAAACAAAATAATAAGGAAAAACGAAAAAAATGAGAGTAAAACAGAGTGGGAGAGGGAAAAACAGAACTGAAAAAAAATAGGAGAGGAAAAAACTAAGAAAGAGGGACAGAGCCCAGAGACACAATAGAAAATGGACGTCGGAAAACAGGGCCTTCCACTCACAATTGCCGAAAAACAGCCAGAAAGGATGTCTTCTCTGGTGAAAATGGTGAAGGAGAAATTGGCTTTAGAGAAGGAGGAAGAAAAACAGTGTAGAGAACCCTAAATATTTTACCCTTCAGAACATTTACCGCTTGAAAAGAGAAGGTAAAAATTTTAAGTGGAAAAAGTCTATTTTGCCCTTAAAAAACCCTAAAATACATAAAGCAAGGGCAAGATTGGAATTTCGCTATCTATTTTCCCTTAAAAAACCCTAAAATACATAAAACAAGGGCAAGATTAGAATTTCGCTCTCTTTCTCTATTACACTTCAACACTACAACTAGGGCTTAACCCCTACGAAGAAATACTTCACAGCAGCAGCAGGTGGCGAACCACTGCTCCACAGTGGCACAATAGCCCACCGATGCTCCACAGTGGCACAACATCAATGAAGAAAGGAAGAAAATATGTGATTTAGGGTTTGGGCTCACGGATTATCTTTTTGGAGCAGGTCCAATCAATGGCCCAACTCAATTTTTCCCACAAAAACGCTATTTTTTTTACATTTTCCGCCATGGCTGCTGTTACCGCTATGCGCGTAACGGCCGCCATGGCGCCGCCATTGAAAAACGTCAGAAAACGGTAACGGTGTAACGGCGGGGTCAAAAACAGCCACCGAATTCCGCCATGGCCGCCATTTAACAACACTGCCTTCATTAAACTCAATATCAATATATTACTCATTTGTTACAGTTACTGATATAAACATCTAAATAACTGGACCAAAGACCCCAAAAAAATGAACAGTTACAGATAATATTGACCTCCTGGATTTTATTGTTCAACAGACAAAGATGAACAACCTTAAAGCTTTTTTTATGTAATATAAAAGATTGTAAACAACCCAGTTGTTGTAGCATATGATGTAGCAAAAGCCAGGTCCAGAGGATAAGGGAAGACGCAAAGAAAATGAGTATTTACAGAATGACAACCAAGGAAACTTTGCACTGTTTATTTACTACAGAACATAATTAAACTCAGGAAAATTTCTTGAGGAATGATGTCTTCAATTTCAGGGAGGAAAAATACAATTCTTTCCCTATTTAAAGTTGAATAAATCAATTCAGTTATAAAAAACTTTGCAAATAAATACACAGTGCAGGTCAAAAAGCTACACTGTTATCTTGATAAGTGAAAAAGGCAGGTCCAAAAGATAAGGGAAGACACAAAGAAAATGAGTATTTACAGAATGACAACCAAGGAAGCTTTGCACTGTTTATTCACAGCAGAACATAATTAAACTTTGCAAATGAATAACCAGAGCAAGTCCAAAAGCCACACTATTAACTTGATATCTATATTCAGCATTTGATAATATAGTGTATACATTTCTACTAATAAGATGAGACCCCCAACCAGTGTTGTTAAATGGCAGCCATTTGGTGACAGTTTTTAACCCCACCGTTACAGCATTAGTGTTTTCCATGGTGGTGCCATGGCGCTGTTACGCGCATGGCGGTAACGGCAGCCATGGCGGAAATTAGGAAAAACAGCGTTTTGGCAGGGTTGGACTGCAAACCTGAACCAGTCCAGAGGTTGACCCACGCAGGAAAACCTTGAGCTGAGTTGTTAATAGCAGTGCTATCGTGCTAGTGAGGAGCAGCCATCGGCCGCCACTGCCACCACATCGTGCGGCATTTGTCACATCTCAGTGGTTGCGGGTGGTTTGCGGCCAAAATAGGGAGAAGTCGCAGGTGCTATTGTGCAATTTTGGAGAAAGGAAAAAACCCTTTTTTGTTTTTCTTAAAACACACTGTTTTGATTATTTTTAAGGGTAGATAGGTCATTTATCATTAATAAAACATATATTTCATCTTCCTCCACACTCTTCCTCTTTGCACAAAAAGTCGAAACCTCAACTTAGCAATTTCTCCCATCCTCACTGACTCACCCACTCCATTTCGCCGGAAAAATCAGTTTTTCCGGCATCTCCTCTGCTTTTCAGTTTGAGCTCTATTTCACTATTCACTGATCATTCTTGCTTTTCTGTTCAAGATCTGTTTTGCTGCTCATCCTCTGTTTTGCTGGTTTTGCTGTTCAAGCTCTGTTTTAGCATTTTTTGTTAAATATAACATCCATGCTGCAGTGTTTTTGTCATTTACACTGTTACTGTTACTTGGAATGATGATAATGTAATCTTGAGAATTTCTTGAGCATTTATATTAAATTTCTGTATACATAAATATTATATATGCAAACTATAATAGCTTTTATATATTTTATTATATCTGTCATAACCCGCCATGGTGGCTGCCATAACTTTATGGTAGTTTTTTTGGTTTCTACCATGAGCCATCATCCGCCATTGATAACATTGCATACAACATAAAATCTAACAAAAAACAGAAGTACAAGCAAGGAAGCAATCAAATAACTTCTAAATGGTTCAAAGAAGTTAGAAAACTAGTGGTCTTCTGAAATCAATTGATAAAAATCATTTTTTAGAGATACACTTAAAACACTTGTATTGTAAGCAATACCTGCATTGATGCTGGCTTGAGTTGAGCTTTCAGGTCCCGTACAGCAGACTGGAAAAATTAAGACAGCAAAATAAAGAAAATAAAATTAAAACTAATAATAACAATAAATGAAATTTTACAATTTTAATAAATAAACTATTAAAATCTGTAAAATGCCAGTGGCTTTGAACTTTCTGATCAAGAGAAGACTAACAATCATATGGTAAGGTTAAAATGATCAGAACAGAATGTATCAGTTTCCAGCTTTTCTTGACATTTCATGTGCTTCATACCAATAGTTTAGAAAGCATACTAATCACTGAACCAATAAAGATATTGATTCACAATTCGTTAGTTTGAGTGTACTTGAATTGCAGTCAAACAATTGATAATTTAAAACGTATTTTTAAAAATATACAACATATCAAACAACAAGCTAACACTATTTTTTTTTTAAAATGGTAAACTAATTGATTCCATGATATATTCAAAAGATTTTATAAGGTTTTCTGCAATATTCTAATATACAAAAAGATATCATAAGATATGAAAGTGTACTGTGAAGTGTGAACCCAAATAGCATACCAACTATGTATATTCCCCATGTACCACATACTTAGAAGGTCACATACCCATACCCCGGGTGTACCACTTACTGGAGAGTATGCCATAACCAGTAACTATGGTCTTCACTCTTGAGAATTGAGATAATATCACTGCTTGCTGTCCACTATTGCAGAGAAGAAAACAACAGAAAACAGAACAGAGGCAACAACAGAAGGCAGAAAAAAAAGGAGATGGATGTCACCAGAAAATCCACCAGTAGTGGGTCGCTCCACTGGAAATAAGTCCCACAGCAAACGAGCAGAACAGAGATGATAAGGAAGGGATTCTTGAACAGAGAAGGGGATAAGAGAAAATGTGGGGGAAAAAGAGAAAAAGGGGGGGGGGGGGGAGGTGTTGGGGCCAGGATAGGTTTTTCAAGCATTTTGAAAAGGGAGTCTATTATTTTAGCCTTTAAAAAACCCTCAAAATTGTGTTGTTTTGAGGGGAAAAGAGGAATTTGGTCCATTTTCACTCTTCAAAACATGCATTTTCTTGGGCCACAAAACCACCACAGTGGCAAAATCCACTATTGCAGATTTGTTAAAGCCAAAGGTGAAAGGACACTTCAACCCACACTGCCATGATTGTACAGAGTATAGCTATCAATAACTATGATATTAGATATAAAACCATTTGAGTCTTCACCTAATAATTTAGGGTGCGTATGGTTTACCCATACTGCCATGATTGTACAGAGTATAGCTATCAATAACAATAACTATGATATTAGATATAAAACCATTTGAGTCTTCACCTAATAATTTAGGGTGCGTATGGTTTACCCATAGGAAATTCATTGCACAAGTTACAAGAGAGATAGCATGAAAGCAAACATTTTTTGCATAGGCTAAAATGTCCTTTAGGCCACACACTTATAGGAGACTTGATTTTCAACACTACTAACTTTCATCTTAAAAAGGTTCTATCTTCCTATGTACATTATAATTTTATCATTACAATATATTCATCCCAACTCCCAAGTATTTCTTTATCACCCCATGCTGGTTACTACCAACTCAATGGGATGGGGTACTAGAAGGTATATCCCATTCTAGAGCCTGAGCAACTCTGGACTAATAAAATATTGAGGCCTAGAATTACTGATATCTTCACATTGCTAACAACCATTAGTCAAGTAAAGAACTCATTCTTGAAAATTAAGTAAACATTCTAACATAGATAATCAAGGTTGTCAAACTGTAGATAATCAAGGAACAGAAGATCCTACATTTAGCATTGAATTATATTAAATATATATACCTATAAAATGTTGAGCATAAATATGCAAAATCCCTTTTAAATCACAATTAACTCCCATATAAACCCTTATTCAAAATATATTATGGGTATTATTTCACATCTATACCCTAATTTACTTTATACCTGTTAGATATTAGTACATTTATATTTTTATATTTAGTATAAGAATTGGTTAAGATCTGTAACCCATTGTCTAGTATTTCAGGGGGAAAGAATGTAGAGGGTAAAAACTGTTTTTGTTTTTTACTAAAATTCAAGGGATCTCTCATCTCTCCCAAGTCACTTCCCACCATTGTCAACACCAGCAGGACCCACAAAGCAAGAGATACAGCTGCAGCAAGGTTTTTGACATCATTGGTTTTAATTGTAGGTTTCTGTATTGCCTAGCACCATCCCGCTTTGTGTAAGAAACCCACAGCCCGTTATAGAAAATCAATATCAAATTTTAATTGTAGATTTTGGTTGCAGCCAAGGTCACTGCAAGCCAAGCAGCAGCAAGGACAAGGATTGCTTTTTGCCACCATCTTCAGGGGGATACAGGCCTTTTTTGAAATTTGAGAGTTCACCCAAGTGCATCTTGTGGCTAAGGTGTTCAGCAGGATCATAAGATCATACCAATCCATGACTAAGCAAGATATCTGAACATGATCCAAGCATAAATAAGTTCGTCCCGGAATCAACTAATCAAGACCACTCCACCCTTCCAAACTCACAGTAGCATTGATATTCATAACATTGGTAAGCTTTCATTTTACTACTAAGATCAAATTTCTAAAGAAAATTCAATTTCAGCAGTGCAAATACTTTCTACTTTCTAACAGCCAAGCACAACAATAAGTGATAAATAAAAAACCTTCATGATTCAAGGTTTTCTAAAGTTTTGCAGTAACTTCAGTTGAAAAGGCATTGCAGATATCAAGCAAAATATATTTTATATTAAGGGAAAAAAGGAATTTACTCCCATGTTCTAGGAAACACAAAATAAATAAAATAACAAAGACATATGTTGTAAAGGATAAGAACCTCATTTTCAGAATATTATTACCAACCTTCAACTCTGCTATTTCTTGTTCCCGTTTTGCAAATGTGACAATGAATGCAGCCTCCTTTTTCTTTGCTTTTTCAAGCTGATAACCAGTAGACAAGTGAAAGGATCGATGAAGTACGATCAACATATAATGAATCATTTTGAAACACAAAAAAGGAAAATTAGATTCTGAACCTGCTCTCTTAAAGACTCTTCAGATGATTTCAGAGCTTGAAGATAATTAATCACCAGTTTCGGTGCTATAAAGTAGAAAGAAGAAATAAATGCTTTGATGTATATTCAAAACACAGAACAACTGTAAACAGAACCTGATCTTGAATAATAAACCCGCATGTCCCTTGCAAAAAACCAAACATAAACTAACCTGGAGTAGCCCCAGCAGGTATAAAAGGTTCATTTTGAAATGAAGAGTGCCACTTTTGAATCTCAGATTTTGCAGCCTCAAGTTCATTCTGGAATATGCAATGATCCAGCAAACGTTTTAGGACAGAAAAAAGTACAACTCAACCCATATACGGAACTTTGTGCCAGGGTGTGTGCGTAAGACACTCAACTCCATCAGCTAAGGGAATTCTCTCTAACTAATAAAAGGCAGGTTGTATGAACATTCTATCTTACATCATTCATAGAGCTAACAAACAAAAAATTCTAACTGCTTGATTACAGAAGTTCAAATTCTTTGACCAGAAGCAAACAACATTATAGAGAGTAAAACATACCTGGCATGTAGCAAGCGTATCCTTACAGTTCTGAAGACTGCGAAAAACAAAATCCACGGAAAATTTTTAAATTTTTGGCTCAAACAGTTTCACGCAATTTTAAAAGAGTATAATATCTATCTTCAACCAGCTAGACTGAGTGCTACCTCTCGCGAAGAGACAAAATCATTCCCGTTGTCACACCAGAAGCAGCTTCTTCAGCTTTTGATTTCGCCTGAACGAGGAACAGCACAACTTGCAGTTTAGATTTTCACTTTTAACACTCGAATAATTGATAGAGCAAGTGTCAAGGATTGGTTAACTGTTACCTTCTTCTGTCCAAAAGGATCATTGTCGTAATCTTCATCGTCATAGTCAGGAGAGGACCTCTTATTACCTGCACTATCAATTTCAACTCAAAAAACAAAAACAATCGCAAAAATATGAACAATACCATGCGTGTTTAAAAACAAAAGCAAAACCTGAATGCGTTCCGCCAAAACCGCCTCCAAAATCAAAGTCCTGCGTTCGAAAACAAAATTAAACAAAGTGCGCATGAGAAAGTCAGTGGCGAGGAATGATAATGTTAGAAATTACATCGTCGAAATGAGTAGGGGAAGCCATCGCGAACTTTAGAAACCCTAGGGATGAAGAGTGAACAAAGCGTAGCCGCAAATGCGAACGAAACAGGCTGCTACTAAAAGCACAACACAGCAATGCGAGAGGGCAAGTGCACGCAGGGCAATTACAAAGAACAATCAAGCAAACAGACCAATAGATCTGCGAATTTAACTAAAGAAGACCGAACCCTAATCTGAAAGGTGAGAGAGCACTGCAATCTCAGCAAGGCGAAGCGAAAGAAAGCTAAGACACAGCACTCGGTTTTCTTTGCTACTAACCCGTTAGTTGATCCTTGCTTCTCTCTTGGACGATAAGATCACTGTTTTTGTTGCGGCCTGTTCCTCTCTTTTGAACAAATATACTGTAACGAAAATATTGGGTTCCGGCCCAAACACCCATTTCTGGGGTTTCATTTTAATGGAAAAATCACCCTTTAATTTTTTTAGCAAACTAATAACATTATTTTTAATCATTAGAAATTTAAAGTAATAAATTGTAAAAAATATATATATCTATTAGTATTGACTATCAACCAAGAGAGAAAAAAATATGATAGACTTATTTTACCTAAGTTGTCATGTTAGCAAACTAGTAGAACAATATATGTTGAAACATTTTGGTAAGAAATGGAAAGGATGAACAGTTTTATAATGTCATTGTCACTGGCATCTTAACTCTTAAGGATTTTATATGTTGGCAAATTTATTTTAATATTGTAAATAAAAAAACAATTTATTGATTTATAGATAATCTGAAACAATTTACTTGTCTGGAATTTTTTGGGCTACGTGGCAGGAAGTTTCACCATATTATTTGGCAAAAGTTTTTTTTTTATTATCCTAATTAAGTTTCGCAACTCTCCTGGCAAAATTATTTTTTTTATTATTATTCTTAATTAAATTTTGCAACTCTCTTGGCAAAATTAATAAAAATTTGACATGTGTCACGAATAGAAGAATTTCGCATATTTGATGGCGAAAATATGTTTCTGAATTTAATTTTAAATAAATTTTGCCACAAAATTGACGAAATAAATGGGAACCTGACATCTGTCAACATTTTGCTTAATTTCGCGATTTTAGTGGCGAAATTTAAACCTTATATATACCCCAACTCACCTCTCATCCCTTCACCGTTGGCGAGCAAATTAGAAGAAAATCAGGTATGTTTATTTTAATAATTTTATTATTTAATTTTTATTATATGAATTTAGTTAATTTTAATTAAAAATTGTAAAATTAATTAATTAATGAGTACTGTTTTTTTTATTTATGTTAATTATTGTAAAATGTAAATATTAAATAAAGTTTATTTTTTTAAATGCAGGATGAGTGGAATTCTTATTATTATATATTGGAGTGGTAGAATCTATGAATGAACTGAAGGAGTGAGTTTTGAAGGAAATAAGAAAGTGATTCAGATAAAACGAGGAATAAGTTATGAAACATTGAAAAAAAAATTCATTTGAAACTTAATCTTAACCATAATCAAGTTATTTCTAGATTAATTTCTCATTTTTTGATTGATGAAAATATTAGACAGTATACAGCTTTAGATATATGTGATGATGAAGATATTGATTGCATGATAAGTGCATTTCAACAACAATCAGGTAGAAATATTATTGAGTTATATGTAGATATTGTTGTTGGTGGAAGTTCATCAGTGCCTTTACAGACGATGAATGTAAATTTATCACTTTCACAATAAAATGATAAGACCCTTGTGAGTTGTGATTATAATGAAGGTAAAATTATTTATGTTGTAATATCTTTAAAGTAATATATGTAATTGATTGAATTATAACTGATAAATTTGTTGCAATAAAGGAGTTAGGAATGATGTTGATGAGGATAATGAAAACTCAGATTATGAGAGTTACACTGATAGAGATGATGAAGCAGCAGAAATTTCGTTAGGCAGTTCTTCTTCTACTGATGTTGAAGACGAGTTTCATTCCAACTTAAATATACAAGTAGTTGAAAATGTAGCAGGTAATGTGGAATAATTATTAAAAAAAAATTTGTAGTTATATATTTATATATTCATGCTAAATATAAGGTGTTTTTTTTGTAGTTATATATTTATATATTCATGCTAAATATAATGCAGGAGATACTGTAATTCCTTTTTGAAATGTTACTCCAAAGTATAAGTATATTAATTGGGAATATCCTGATCAAGAAATGAATGAAGAACATCTTCAAGAAATCAATTCATGGGTTGAAGGAGATCCTTTATTTGTTGGTTTATTATTTGACAGTAAAGCAGATGTGAAAAATGCGTTAAAACATTACGCAATGAAGATTCATCAAAGTTATTTTGTGGCTGAGTCTAAACTAACATGTTTGTACGCTAAATGCTTAAATCATACCTCTGGTTGTCCATGGAGAGTGAGGGCTTCATTGTTGAAGAATTCAAACAAGTGAAAAATTACTAGGTGGGGTGGTTCGCATACATGTGTCAATATGAGAATTTCTCAATATCATCAAAAGTTGGATTCCGATTTAATTTGTTCATGCATTATTGGTAAGACATATCATTTGTTTTTTCCTTTTTACAATAACATTGTTCTTAACTTGAGAAAATTTCTTTTATGTAGGAATGGTAAACGAAGAGTCATCGGTACATATTTCATTGATACAAGAGCGAATATGTGTTCAGTTTGGATACAAAATTTCATATAAAAAAGCATGGAAGGCGAAGCAAAAAGCCATTGTTAAAGTATTTGGTGATTGGGATGAATCATACGCTACCTTGCCTCGATGGTTAGAATACATGCAACTATATTCTCCTGGATCTGTTTATAAAATTGAAACAAAAGAGTATGTGGTTGGTCATCAAGTGGATAACAAGTGTAGAGTATTTGAACGATTATTCTGGTCATTCGAACAATGTCATCAGGCTTTTAAATTCTGCAAACCTATATTACAAGTGGATGGAACGTTCTTATATGGTAAGTATCGTCATACATTGCTCATTGCAACAACTCAAGATGGAAACAATTGTGTCCTTCCAAAAGCTTTTACAATTGTTGAAGGAAAAACCTTGTCAGCATGGGAATGGTTTTTGGCATTGATTCGTTTGCATGTTACCGATAGATCGGGAATTTGTTTGATATCAAATAGACATCAAAGTATAAAAGGGGTTGTGTCAAATCCACACATTGGTTGGCAACCTCCAAATGCGTATCATGTATATTGCATTCGTCATATTGCCAGCAACTTTAATCACTGGTTTAAAAATATAGCATTGAAGAAAGAGCTCATCAAATTAGGTATATATTAGACTTTTTATGTAGATTATTGTTAAAATATTAGATAGGCATTGAATCCATATATCTATCTTTTAATGTTTTGAATATTGTATACGAAGGTTATACGCCATCGAAGGTCATATTTCAGCAAAAGTTAACTAGATTTCACAATGAATTTGAAGATATACAAAGGTGGATTGACTGCATAGCAAAGGAGAAATGGGCATTATGTTATGATGGTGAAGGACGACGTTATGGACACATGACCACAAATCTTTCAGAATCAGTAAATAAGGTGTTGAAAGGTGCTAGAAACCTGCCCATAAATGCCCTAGTTAAAGCCACCTATGGACGATTGGTTGAATATTTTGTGAAGCGTGGAGAAGAGGCTATCTCTGACCTTCACAATGAAAGCATGTTTTGTCGTAAAGTGATGTTGCAAATTCAAAAAAAATCAACAAGAAGTTTCATCACACCAAGTTCGTCGGTATGACATACAGAGAAAAAGTTTTGAGGTTGAAGAAGCTTTTAATCCAATAACACAAAGGGGTGGACACAAATAGACAGTTATATTAGATAGAAGATTCTGTGAATGTGAAAGATTTCAGTCTTATCGATATCCTTGTTCACATGTGATAGCAGCCTGTATAGTTGTAAGTATCGATTTTTGGCAATATGTGGACCCAGTTTATTCAATGCAATATGTTGTAAATGCATACTCCCCACAGTGGTTCCCCCTTGGAAATGAATGCAACATCCTTACAAATACTGAATGGAAGTTAGTACCTGATGTTGACAAAGCAAGAGGTAAAAGCCGACCAAAGTCAACTCATATTAGGAATGAAATGGATTGGGTTGAGTCACAAACTAGACAAAGGTGTTCTAAATGTAACGAAGTAGGTCATAATAGACGTCACTGTCCTCAACAAAACAATGTTGGTTAAGCATTTCATACATGTTAGGGTTTGTAATATTTTATTTTCTTTAATGCATAATTTATGTATTTGTTAAATGATATTGTTGTTTATCCTAATTGTCATTAATTATTGTAAAGAAAGCATAGTACTCATGATCAAGACAAAGGTTGTTTTCAAATTAATAACCAGAAAAAGCATACAAGTCATGAACAATACATATGTGATCTAAAATAAAATACTACACATAAAAGTGTCATTGTTGTCCTCCCATATGTGCCTGATGATCATGATCCTCTGGAGTCAAGATGCATTGCCTCTGTCTATCTCGAGCTCCTCGATGAGGGTTCTGACGAACCTCTCCTAAATCAGCAACCGCACCAAACTCAGCATTAAGATCAATACCAGACTCTATAGGATGCATGTCTGATGGTCCAGGCTCATCTTGAATGTATGGGGCACCTGGAGTGAAAAGGGAATGGTGCTCGTGAGGAGGTGTGAAAAAGAAATCAGGTCGTGGGCTGTAATCTTCTGATCCTATAAATGGTGAAGATGGGGGTTGTGATTGATGATGGGTACCCTGTGATGAATGGAAATAAGTCGGGACAGTAATTAAATGAGATGCCTGAAAAGGGAACTGTGATGGTATAGGGAAGACACTATCAGGTCGCTCTGGCATAGTCGGGACAGCCCACTCTGTTGCCTGCACTTATCTTCGTTGACGTGCCAAACCTCTTCCTTCTCTTCGTTGACGCGGCTGGTCTATGTGTAAGTCTAGATCGACGGGATTACCACTTTGTACTAGAGGATATGAAGATGAAACAGGCTCTAATATGCGATCCTGCTCCTTCTTCAATGACAGGAGAGTCTCAAACAAGTCCTTTAATTCATTAAAGGCAAAATAATCTTGTCCATCAGTACTCAAGTAATGCAATCTCTCCATCACATCATCCTAAAAAAAACAAAATGTAATAAGTAGTGTAATTTTGTATATAAAAAATACTAATAGTAAACAAAATTTATAATACTATATCAACATACTGATAAAGCTGATAATGTTGCATTCCTGGTCATCCAACGACGAGTGTGACTAACATACCACCGCATGTACTCTGAATTTGAGCTCAGTAAACCATATTGAAGCTCATTAGTCATCACCCAAAGTCGTCTATTGTCCCAAATTTCTAACATAACACTGAACTTCACTGACCAATCTTCTCCAGTCTTCCCTCTAAGGGTTAGGTCATGTAGCTGGTCAGGCTGATAAGGAGCCCTTGGTATGTGTCGATCCATACTAAACTGACGCATTACTCTATCAAGTTGGTGCCACTCACATACTTGAAAACATATAAGTGGCACCACTGCCCTCCATAAATCCATACCATCTTTACAAATAGGTGGTAAAATATTGATGATTTCCATATTGTATGGCACCCACACAATCTGTATTATGACATAAAATTACGATTAATAACAAATCAAAATTAAATAGTGTAATACACTCTATTATTTATATGATGTTATTTAAATAAGTAATTTAGTATAAAAGTTGCTTATAATACCTCATCACGTGCTAGACGATCAAAAATAAATCTGTAGTATTGAACATCTTTCTTTCCCTTTCTGATACCGTGAGATAACCATCTGCAAGTAATTTTGACAATAGATCATGAGGTCAAACAAATTACATTAATAGAAAACCTACAAATGCATACAAAAATAGTTACAATAACAACTTACTTAACACTATAGGGAAGATATGGACGTGTATAGGGAGGATTGGTAGGCGCAATCTGGGGAAATCTATCCTAAACCTAAATCACAATCAACGCAGCAAGTCCTCCTATAGCAACACGATCAATGTTGGTGACCATGCATAGCTCTCGGTACAAATAACCTATAAATGCAGAACCTCAACTATATTCACCGGTTAGCTCAAAATCTTCAAGCAATGGCAAGTACCTCACAGATACCCTACTGCTAGAGTGGTCAGGAAGCATGAACCCTCCAATAAGCCTCAATATATATGCTCTAGCAAACCGAGTAATCTGCAGTGGAGTCTGATTATGCATGGCAATATGAGTGAAGTGCTCGTCCAACCAGCTCTTCTTCAAAAAAACTCCCTACAAAAGCATCTGATCCTGGTCTAATATCTAGGCTGTCTTCAACAATTTGCGCTCAATCACCTCCAGTGAGTGCTATAACAGGTCTCCCATCTACGCGTAATCCTAAGAGAATAGCAACATCCTGAAAGGTAATAGTACACTCTCCAGGGGCATGTGGAATGTGTGTGCCTCGGGCCTCCACCTCTCTACTAATGCAGTAATCAATCCCATGTCTACTGGAAGCTGAGACAAGTTAGTCACTTCAATAAAACCTGCTAACTCCAGATGTGGAATAATTTCTTCTGGAACACCCTCTAATCTACCGGGAATATTTTGACTCTTCCTAACCCTCAATATCGGGTGATCATGTCCATCTTAAATATGTTCAGAAACATGTATACTCTGAAACTGAAGAAATGATGAATCTTCTAGCCCGAGATTAATAACCCTACTTTGTTGTGAAGATGATGCCATTTATACAACAAAAAAATGATTACTCAAATAATTTCATTCAATAATAATAATTATTATTATTATTATTTATATTTTACTAACATAATTAATAATACATATTTTATTATAGTTAAACAAATTTACTAACAAATCATTATCACATTGTAATGACTTAAATATACAAAATTGCAATATATTATAAATGCAAAAATCAGGTATAATCTCATCAATTAAATCATAATTAAATTTTTTTTTTACAAAATAAATAACTAAATTACTAGCCTATGTTCTATACAAATTATAATTTATGCAGTATCAATATTATTTTAAATAAATAAATTCTTATTTACATTTTCATACATATTATATATAAATTTTTACCCATTGTAATTTTTTTCATTTTAAAATGTATTTAATAAAATTTATATAAATCATGTTACATTATTTAAATACAAAACTCTAATTACTAGCATTATATTAAATTAAATTTTTATTTTTTTCATGTTTCCAATTTAAATCTACATAAATTACATACTTATAATTTTATTTTAAGATTCTTGCACCTCATATTTGATTTTGGAATATCAATTAAAAGCTATTTTAAAAAAAAACCAATTCCTGTTGGTAACGTCTCCATATTCTGGTGAAAATCTGTCAGTAAATCTATTTGAAGCCAAATTCAATAGGGGGAGATTAAAACACAAAAAACAAATGTTTACTGAAGCTCCATTTAAAATACCAGCTATTTTTATAGCTCCATAACAATTATTAATGTTACATTTTTTTAAATAAATATATAATTATTTAGTATAAATTTTATACTTAATTATTTTACATTATCACTGCATTTTAATATTTTATGGCCACGTGTCATAACATTTTACATTATTATTACTGCATTTCAAAATTTACAATTTCAAAATTCTACTTAATTTACTATATAGGTGTAAAAATTATTTATTACAATAAAAATAAATATAAATTATTATATTTAGTTTTATATAATTATTTTATTTATTTACTTTTCTATTATTCTGTTTTTTTCAAATACATATAACAATTTATGCAAAAAATTTAAATTAATTTAAATTTAACCTACCTTTTTAACAGTTTATTATAATTTTACATTTAATCAACTATATTACAATTTATTTTTCTAAAAACATGTTAATCTATATACAAATAAATAAAAAACTATTTAAAATTTAAATCTTTTTTTATTAAACTTAATAATAAACCTTCAACTAAATTATTTTTCACTCACCCCCACCGAATCAATCAATCACCTGCATACAATTACAAAATTTTACAAAATTAATTGTTGCTATTTATCAGATTTTTCAATTAACAAATTAAATTAACAATAATATATAAATAGGCATATTACTATACCTCTTAAACTTGTACAAATGGCCTTCACAATGCAAATCAAACTAGATTTTAGCCAAATTTAGGAAGGAAGAACCGTGAACGACGCTGAAGCAAGAAAGAAGAAAAATGAAACTGCAAAACGGAGGAGAAGAGGAAGAAGACCAAACTGCTCACTGTTTGGCCGGCCACGTGTCATATTCTGATTGCTTTCGCCAAAGGCAAGGCAAAAGTGACTTTCACCAATAGCAGAGCGAAACTATTGGGATGTCGTCACGTGTATAAAATCACTCCAGCAGTCCATTTACATTTCATTTTTATCAATTATTTTTAATTTTAACAACTTTCTGGTGGCAAAACAATGGTCCTGTACAGCCACGTGTCAATATATGATTAGTTACGCTCTGGCTGTGGCGAAATTTGGTGGTTACTTCGCCAATTACGTTGCGAAACTATCCTGTGTTTGACACGTGGTGCGATCTTACTTATTTCGTCTTTTTTGTAGTGAAATATATATAAAAAAAATTGAAAAATAAATTTATTTTGCCAGTCGTTATGGAAAAAACTAACTCCACGTGACTAAAAAATCTCAGACAGAGAAATTGTTTCAGATTACCTATAAATTAATAAATTGTTTTTTTATTTACAATATTAAAATAAATTTGCCCCAATTTCTGGGGTTTCATTTTAATGGAAAAATCACCCTTTAATATTTTTAGCAAACTAATAACATTATTTTTAATCATTAAAAATTTAAAGTAATAAATTGTAAAAATATATATATTTATATTAGTATTGACTATTAACCAAGAGAAAAAAAAAATATGATAGACTTATTTTACCTAAGTCGTTGTGTTAGCAAACTAGTAGAACAATATATGTTGAAACATTTTGGTAAGAAATGGAGTGGATGAACAGTTTTATAATGCCATTGCCACCGACATCTTAACTCTTAAGGATGAGAATATGTGTCGATTTGAAGAGTTGTTATTCAAATTTAAGTTAACAAGTTAGAATCAAATGTATTTTTTTAGAGATGTGCTTTTATAATTTCCTTGAAAATTGGGATATAATTAACATGATTAACAAATGAGATCATGCTGTGTTTAGATATAAGATTAATTAAAAGTTTATTTAATAATAATTTTATATTATGAATTTATTAATAAAATTGTTTTATGTTTGAAAAAAGATTCTAGATAAATTATAGAAAAAAACTTGTTTATGTAAAATAAAAGAGGACTTATAAAAATTACATGTTATTTTCACAAACTTTACATAAATTGTTCTATACGTCCTCAAATACAATTTATAACTTATAACAAAACGGGCCAAACAGAGGCATCATAGTTATTAGTCGTGTTCTTATGAAAATATGAATGTGCTTGGAAGTTAGGAATGTGATAAATAGGGTCATGTGATAAGTTGTCTTAATTATATATTTTTTATTATTACATATTTAAGTCACGCATGTCTTAAAGAAAAATTATAAAAAGGAACTTTGTTAATAACCATAATAAATTATATACTTTTTGGGAAAATATTGTTAAATTAATTTAATTTATTTTTCATTAATTATTTTATTTGTTTTTATGGGCTCAATATTTTTAAAATATTTATTTAGCTCAAGCCTTAGTTTTTTGTTTCTTTTTTGTGTATCAACGATTTCTTCAACTTTGTCCCATTTTCCAACTCTTACTTATTAAGAAGATATTTTGGTAGAAATATAAAAAAATGATAATAAAAATAATTAATAGTAACTAATATAAAGGTCTCAGAACTGATAAAAATAATTTCTTTATCATATTTGTTAGTAGAGATATCAATATGTAATATCCATTCATTTTAATGAAACGAGTTAGGATATAGAACAAAACAACTTTTAAAAATTATTTATTTATAACTTTTCTGTACTTTATATATATATATATAATTGGAATTTAAACCGTAAAAAGTAGGCTATTTAGGGGATATGACAGGGTGAGCTTGCTTTATCATCTTTAAAATAGAGAACATGAAATTTGACAAGATGATTGTCAAAAGCAATTGAAAAAATACACATTCATGAAAATATTACAAATATCAATTAATGATATTTAGATCATCGTGTTTTATTCTTACAATACTTTAACGAAGAGCATCTCTTCATTGTTTTACGAAGAAACTTTGCTAACAAGAATAAAGCCAATATTCAACATCTTTGGGATTAGCGATTAACGGCCGTTTGATTAAGCTTTTGAAAAAAATTAAACATAAATAAAAAGTGGTTTATTTTTAGAGATTTTATAAAAATTAAAAAGTGATTTTTGTTTAGTTACATTTATAAAAAAAAATACTTTTTACTCCAGTGAATATTTATAATTTCAACTTTCTGGGAACTATTTAAGACAGCTTCACTAAAAAGGGTAAGGGGCCATTTGTTTGAGCTTTTGAAAAAATTATTATTTAAAAAACATAAAAGTAAATGATTTTCATAAAAGTTAAAAGTTACTTTTATTTAACTTCATTTTTTTTAAAGTTGCTTAAAACAACTTATCTAAAAAATTGCGTAAATTAAATTATCTTCAGTTTCTTATAATCTTAAGCAAACAATCTAAAAATCTGAAAAGTAATTATTATGTAAAAATAAACGTTCTCATAAAGATAATATTAAACAAATAAATTCTAAAACCATACCATTTCTATAATCTTAATCAAACAATTTAAGAAACTGGAAAGTGGTTATTTAAAAAATATTACTTTGTATTTATATATAAATTTCCTAACTGTAAAATATTTCATATATAACGAACTTTTATTAAAAATTATAAAATCCCATATATATAAATTTGTTGACTTAGCTGCTAGAGTATTAAGCACAATTAATGATATATTCAGTATGGGAAATTTTTTAATTATATAAATATCTGTTTACAAAACCTATAATATCTCATGAATTGTTCCAAAGATCTCGTATTTGTGTTAACGAAATTGCATTGTTAGGAAATTGCATTTAGGATGATTAAAGGTGATGTAGATACAGAAAAAGGAGCCTCAGTCAACCAGAATTTTACATCAATGGCAAATCATTCAGCAGGTAATTCCAATTTAGCTGCAAGTCCTCACAGGCATTGCCAGATTCTAATAACATTCAAGAAAAAATAATTCAAAAAAATTGATAAACCAATTATTTTTTCCACCAGAAATATGCATGCACTTCTAGGAACCAAACAGAAGATTCAATTTTAAAAAAAAATTATAAACAGAAGAAAAATGTAATCGCAGAAAACGGCTCCGTAAATGAAATGAGTAACGACTCCACGGATTCCTATCAAGATGCGAAACAATTAACTCTTGCTTTTGGTCCAATCATAGCATCGCTGGTCATTGCACAGTTAGCTACCAGCGACGTGGCATTGAACCTTTGATAATAATAACAACAACGATAACCCTCAGAGTCCCTTTTCAAATCACACACACAGCGGTGCCACAAACTAATCCCGACTGGTAGCGCATCGCCAAAACGACGCCGCAATGCACGAGTCGGGATAGTTTGAGTTACGCACTTACGCTGCTGTTAAGAGTGTCATACGGCACTTCCTATCAATTGGGTTTTCTTCCTCATTGGGGATTCTAGTTTTTCCTTCTTCTATTTAGAAACATTAAAAAGCACACACAACTACGAAACTTAATCAATAAGCCAATGTACGATAAGAAGAACAAGCAACAATTCTATCCCACACAGGCATGCAGCCGCAGCACCAAAGCAACTAAGAAAGAGTATTTTGTGTCGCAGAGGGAGTGGAATTTATAGAATGGTGACTGTTTAGGGTTATGGCACAGTGACTATTTTACCTCTGACTTGCCAGCGGGAGGCCCAAAGGATTGTCCCATTATTTCCTTCGGTTCCTGGATTCTCAAGCCCAAGGTTCACGTGGGCCTTCTAAAAGATGAATATTTGTCATACAAAAAACCGAATACGGGCCAGGCTTTCAACTGCTCACAACAAAATAATAAAGTCCTTTTGTCCCATCCTCTAAGATGGAAAATGGATTTTTTATATTAAAATGTACATATACATATATATATATATATATATATATATATATCTCATCATTTTAAGAATATTTACTAATGAATTAAAAAATAATTAGTTTGTTTTTACTGTGATTATAGATATATTTTTAATGTCTTCTGTTTATTAATTTCTTAATCAGTATCTAAAAAACGATTGATTATAAATGTATAGTATTCCTCGGTTTTAAGACGAGTGGAAGAAAGAAAAGTATATGGCATTGGAAATTGATATTAGATTATAGGCATCCTTTATGGGTTGCAAGGCTCTACTCGAACTTGTTTTCTTTATAGAACCTCCACAATCCACAGTAATACCCACTTGGGCAATGGCAAACATATGATAATGTCCATGAAATTCTTGTTCTCAATTCACATGCCTCCTTTACCCACCACTCAATCTTCTTATGGAACAACTCACGTAATCATGGGTTTAAGAACTATTAATTGTTATTCTTTAATTATTATTATTTTATTATTGTGTTGCTAAGGTGGAGGTATGCCCATTATCCTTAATCATCTCCTAGCAACTTCAATCAACAATTTAATTTTCTCCTTGGATTATGCCAACATACTCTTTTTGTTTACACTTGGTGCATGACGATAAAGACAAACAAACTTTTCTTCAAATCTTACCATATAAGGTTCCCCTGCCATAGGAAACATGGCTGTATTATAGATTATTAAGTTAATAATATCTTGTAGCTAATGATCTATGTGGGGGTATAATTAGAAGGGGAAAAACAAGTCTTGCTGTCCCACCACATCCATTTCTTCCGTGATTGGCTCTCTTATTGGTGTACCACACGTGTGCCTAACACATATCAAAATAATATAATGCTTGATTATATACACTCTCTATTTTCAATAATATTTTCTTGTTCATATCGGATGGAAGAGAAAAAGCCGTTATCATTGATTGGAGGGAAAATTTTAGGAGTAAATATTAATTTTAGTTTCTTTAATCCTAAGTGTTGATTATTTTAATATTTAATTTTCTTCACAAGTTACTTATTTTATTTTTTATATTACTTTTATTATGATTTTATATAAAAACAATTATATCATTTTTTATTAGCCAAAAATTAAATTCATTAGTGCTTAAATTTTGAAATATTAAAACAAATATATTTTATAAATTTTTGGTATGTCGGCATTGTTATATTTCAACTGTGTTGAAGGCGATTCAAGTACGAAATTTTGGCTATTATTGTAGCGGACAGTGTTGTGACACTAGGGCCCTATGGTCCCTCACAGCTAACATTGTACACGTCACTTGTATTTCCTCAATATTTAATTTTGAGTATTATTAAAATATTAATTCTTAAAATTGTAAGAAATTTATCATTTTAATTTATAAAATTATATGTATACATTTAAGATAATTTTCTATTTTTTTTATTTCATGCCAGCAAATTAAGATTTATCAATGTTAAATTTTATGTTATGTATGAAAAACGTTGACATGTCGTTAGATGAATCGAATAAAGATTTATGAGAATTTTAACAATTTTAGAATCTTTTTCATATTTTAAAGATTAAATTAATGAATATGTATAATTTTAAAAATTAAAATATCAAAATTTTAATAACTTTAAGAATTAAAACTTTTTCTTTCATAATTTCATTAAAAACTAAAAGAATTAATTTCTTAAAATTTCAAAAAATGTTATTTAACAGTTCAAAAAATAAAATAATAAAACACGTACAATTTTAAGTACTAAAACAGTATGTTGCTCACTTATCCTTGATTTATATATTTATATATATATATATATATATATATATATATATATATATATAGAGAGAGAGAGAGAGAGAGAGAGAGAGAATGAGATAATGGGCATGGGTAGATTAGGTGGCATGTGATTTTACATAAGCTCTCACGTTTAAATCTTTTACATCGATAAAGTGGAGCTGTTGGTGATTTGATACGAGTGATGAAGAGAATTAGGTGTTTATTATGTCCCTAGGCTCTAATGGAAGAAGACAGAACATCCTATTCGTGTGGTGGGTTTAACATTATTTTTTTCCTATCATCTTAGAAAGACACAGAGCCTCATGAAATGAAGATTCTCAAATATGAAAGCTCTCCCGCTTCTATTGATCAAGTAGGTTATAGACTCTAGCAAAAAGTTAATAGACTAATTAAGCAGCCAACAACCATTAAAAAAAGGTTATAATGGAAATAGTCCCATCAACTTAATTTGACTTCTCAATAAAACAACTCTCTTAATTTAGTTTTGCAGAAAGTATTTTTTATTGATTAAAAACAGATTAATGATAAATAGTTTGAATTTATATAGTATTAAATCTATTTTATTTACTAAGTAAAAAATTCCTCTAAAATAAATTTGTTTGTAAAATAAGAAAATAAAAAATTGTCTAAGTTAAAACTATTTTAAATTACTATGTATAATTATATACTTTAAATCAATAATAAATAAATAATGTTTTACTTTTTCATCTTATAAACGATGTTAGAACAGCCTAATCCTTTTAAGTGAAACACCTGTGTGTTAGTTCGTACAATTGTATTTTAACAATAAGTTTAACTAAATTTATGGCACATAATAAATAAGACAAACTTTTCACATGTATATTGATAGTTTAGAATGATTAACGATATTACTATAATGATTATTTGATAGATGACCAAAGTTAGACTCTTCATTGCATTTAAAAAGACTGGAGATGGATAACGTGAAACCTAATTTAATAGAAAAAAACTAAAAAGTGAGACCACACAAATGTGTTTAATTTGAATTACGAAATTATCATACGTCGTTGATATTAGGAAAAAGCACACCTTTTCAACTAAAGAGAGCATTAAGTTGGTTAGCTGTGTGAATCAAAATTCCAAAAGCTACTAATAATTTTTTAGGTGACATTGTCTTAATTTAAGTTAACTAATTAGCTTGAACATCAAGCCTTTATATATGGGTTCTCAACGTTAATTAATTTAAGTCTACATATATATATATATATATATATATATATAATCAACATCTTTAAAGCACTACTTTACAAATTTAAAATAAAATTTTATTATTAATATATTATGTTTAATTTTTAATACAAATGACTTAATTTTTAATAAAAATATTTGTTATTTTTTAACTAATATTTTAAAAACATTAATTAACAAATCTCTTAAAAATACACCACTAAGATTTCACTTTGCAAGCCAGATACATTCAAGCGTGTTAATAATTTTAAGTTTCAAATCAATTTATAGCCGCTTTTAGCATCACACACGGCGTGAAATAACTAATTGAGCACTGCACATCCATTCTTGAGAATATGTTGCATCAAAGTAATGATGTTTTTGGCTCTTTTAATTTAAATTTATTGATGACTCAAGCCATATGTAATTTGTTACTTGTCATCTTCATGAACTGAAAAGAAGAATTTTCCCAGGGAGTCTCACAGTTTAATGCTTTGATCAAGCTCAAAGGGGAGAGTTCATAATATCAAGATATAATAATATAGAGTAGTTTAAACTCTAATCAAATTTTTTAAAAAGATATCCCAACAACTTTATACACATTTTTAAAACCAAGTAAAGAGATTAATATCAGTTAACATAGATGATAGTTTATATTTCAACCTTTAATTACTGAACTCCGCAACTATTTTTCCTGTTATCTTAACAAAACAAGGAGGTAGAAGTCATAATTACCCACTTTAGCTTTTGAATAATGGGAGGATCCTTTTGTATGAGCATGTATGTCAGTGTACGCACAATGCATGTAGTGTATGTTCATGCCATATATTAGAGCTTACAAAATTTTAAAAATGAAATAATCTAAGTCGACTTATTATTGTGGTAAGTCATAAAAAAATAAATGTAATATAAGATTATATATATGACTTTAAAGAAGAGAGTTGAAAAATGTAGGCGCATGGGATGAAGGGGTTGAGATCACGTGTGAAACTAGGAAGAGGAAGTGGTGCTTGAAAGAGTGGTGGCAGGTGATGAGATGGTGTTGGCAAGTTGGGAAGCAGAATGGGACCCTTATGCACAACCCACATCGTTGATGGGTCACACTCAATGCCTTACTTTTAGCCCGTCAAACTTCCAACACCGCCCATCATTCTCATAGTGCTATGGATGGATAAAGAGAAATTGGACCTCTCTAAGGTATAAAAGAGAGACGTGAATGAATGGCACGGTGTGCACGCATCAAAAGCATTTTTGTCTGCAACGCGTATATATATATATATGTCTCTCTCTCTCTCTCTCTCTCTCTTGATTCCTTCTGCGACTCCATCTGTCAAAATTCAAATCCTTGCAATTGCATGCTATGGATACTATCATTGGTTTTTCGAGATGCACACGTGTAAGAATACATATATTCATACATTTCTTTCTTTCTTCATCAGTGCATGCAAGCATCATCAGGGTGTAAAAAGAATTAAAGACATTATAATTATTACTTATTACTGAAGATGGACGTATAGATGTAATTCTTGGTCAAAACTAATAATCTTAGATCTAGGGGTCATTATTTTTCATACATAAAAAGCTATGTTCGGGTCATTCTAGAAAACGTTAAACAAAACAAAATTGACGTGCACGATTGCGAATTTTTCCACTTGATTTCTATGGTTAATTCATTATCAATTCAGATGATTATTGAAAAAGAGATATACGCAGCTCCTTTTTCCTGAAAAGTTGCTCATTTTTTCTCCAAAATGATCGACAACGTTGACAGATGATTGGATACCTTGGCGTATCCTAAACATTTCGGTGAGTGTGACGATTAGTTTTATATAGGACATTTTTACCCGTATAGTATTTTTATACAATTTTTGTTTTATAGCCAAGAGATACAAGAAAATAAGAAAGAAATAGCAAATAAAATAAATAATGTATAATAGAGCAAAATAGAGAAAAATAATAATTATAAAAATATGTATAAGAATAATATAACTCTTATATGTCTTATCAATAACTTTCTATAGTAGATTGCATTTAATTCATAATTTTATATAACATCTGGGGTTAAATTAAGCAATTTACACATTCTGTTAACTTTTTATATTTCTTGATGTTAACGTCATCGTAAGAAGTGGAAAATATAATTAGCTCATGCAAAATGTCATGATTTCAGGTGCAACAATATATATAGATATTTATGTCACCCCATGCAGGATATTTAACAAAAGAATAACTAATTACTTTTGCTTTTAGTTAAAATTTGGAAATAATAATTGTGACCCAAAATTAAAAATAAAATAAAAGGAATTTTAGTGTGGACTATGTGACAGTGTTGAACCGAAGCCTTTTTGTGTTAAAAGAATATTAAATAAAATTAAACGTCAAACAAGCTTTCAAAAAGAAGTTAGGCAAAGCAGATCACGAATCTTGCTGAGCAATGGAAACTGGATCATATTGTCTAGTACTCTTTGTCCTTTAAATCGTATCAAGCATCGGATGATATGGTCTTTGTTCCCTTAAGATAACGTTCCATCGAGCATATATATATATATATATGAGCCATAATTTTATTTTTATGATTTTCACTATAAAAGACTTTTTATTTAGCCATATATGGGTTGCATACGACTATTATTTTCACTAGTATACATATTGTAGATGGAATGCACGACTTAAACGGTGGAAAGTTTTACTTCTTGCTCTCTCCTTTTTAGCCATTAATTATCACCAAAGTTTTGTAAGGATTTTAGAGATCACTTTGGTGTTACTAAGGCAACAACCCATTTAATGTTTTTAGGGGTTAAATGAAGCTCCCTCCCCCGAAGCAAATGAAAAATAAAACGCTTCAACTTTGCGGAAAGATGACAAAGAAGGGTAATTAATTAGATGATCGTTTTAGATGGAAATTATGGATCCACATATACAAATTGATTACAATAAGAAAAGTGAAAGTTAATTGGAGGAATATCCATGTTGAAAAGAAAATAAAATAAAAGAGGGGAAGGCGCACTACAAGCAAACATCATTTACACGTAAGAATTCTGTTTTACTTGAGAAATAATCTTCACATAATTAATGATTCATTGTTACTCTTAATTATGCATTATTACCCACTCGAAAGTTTTACCGAAAAACACATCAAGTCCACAACCCACTGCAAAATGCAATCCACTTAATGAGGACAGCAGTAATTATGAGAAGTGAAGACCAGAAAAGTAAAAGGAAAAAAATCCAATGAATTGCAAATAGAAATCTATAGCATACGTGCTGATATAATTAACATCAACCGTTTTTGTAGGTTCAAATCACATAGTTTGTGGGCCTTCCGACATGGGTGGTCTCAACTCTCAACCAATTATGTTAATTACAAATTGTGGGCACTCTGAGAGGAAAGAACTCTGTATCATTTAATGCATTAAACTCCACTGTGTTTCAGTAACCACGGTAGAAAGATCTCAGCTTCTGCTAAATAATTTTTATAGTGTTTGCTTGGAGAGGAGAAAATGTTTTTTTATAATTTTTTTAATCTTCAATTCAATATTTTTAGGGAAAAAAAATGAAAGGAAAGGAGATTAAAATATCTCTTTACTTAATTTTTGCTCTCCTCTGAAAAATAAGAAAGAATTTTGAGGGAGAAAAACTTCTATATCAATCTGATAAAAGTATTATTAATTTATAACTTTATTTGACCATCTTAAATATATAATATTAAATTTTTTATTTTTCTTCTTTCTCCTTTTTCTTGTCAACCAATTAAGATATTCCTCTTCTCCATTGAAAAAGTATTCTTCCTCTCTTCCTTCTTTTCTTTTTCTCTATTAAAATCTCTCCTCCCCTTCTTTATTATGAACCAAATAATGCATTCATTAAATAATTAACAATTTTTAAAGATTATTAAGTTTCCTTGGTCAAAGTCTAAGGACTAAGTGCAAGTTTTATGTTAATATTTAACAGAAGTGTTAAAATGAGATGGAACACAGTATATAAATTCTATTATGTTTAGTGTATTTTAAAATAAAACAAAATTAGAGATGAAGTTAAAAATTGTTACATCTTTATTCTATTTATAAAAATATAAGAAAACAAACATTTTGTATGTGCACTAAATATTACCAATAACTGATATGAGAATTTATCTAATTTTAACGTAGTAGATTATTTTCAGTCTTACAAACTTGACAAAATAGATATCCAACTCAAATGTAAGAGTGTGTGCTAATTAAGATATCTTACATTAATTAAAAATATAATAAAAATATTTTTTATAAGGTTTGGGCAATTTTTAAAATGGAGTTAGGTATATTCTATTCACATCATATCTGTTGTGTTGTCTATGCCCTGACATATACTCTCTATATATAGGCATGTGGATTTTAGTTCCACCCACAAATGCTTGGTCCTTGGGAGATTCAAAAGCAGGGCAATCCATGAAGGCAACACTACGGTACTTAGCAGGCATTGCTGGCCCAAGTGGTTTTGGCTCAAATTCAACAGCTGAGCAAGTCACTGAGGATTGCTCTTCCTTGTTCCTTTCAAATCTAACCGCTTTAATCACTGGTAAGTCTTAAATAGTCTTTGATAAATGCTAGAACCAAAAATACCATATTATATCATAAGAAGGTTCATCATGGTTCCAGTTCCACTGATACTTCGTGTCACCAAACATACATTCTATAATTAAGAACCAAGAATAGTTGAAGTTTTTCTTCAGTGTATTACCATTTCATCTTGCATGGCTTCGAATCTGTTCTTCTAGAAGCTGATCAACGTGGCCTTGGTGATGTCCATCTACGTACATAGCACAAAACAACCATCTTTTTCTGCTTCCATTTTGTTTATCCTTTAAGTGAATGATAAATCATATGAATATTGTGTGTATACTCTTTCAAGTATTTGAAAAATAATAACCGATATATAATGTGGGATTAGCTTCACTAATGAAGTTGTAATTTGTTGTTGAATTTTTAATTGAAGGTGGGACTTCTGGTATTGGAGCTGAAACAGCTAGGGTGTTAGCAAAGAGAGGAGTGAGGGTTGTGATTGGTGCCAGGGACTTGAGAAAGGCCAGGGAAGTCAGAGAGAAAATCCAAGAGGAGAGTCCAAATGCTGAGGTTATTCTGTTGGAGATTGATCTTAGCTCTTTTGCTTCTGTACAGAGATTTTGTTCAGAGTTTTTAGCATTAGAATTGCCCCTTAATATTCTCATGTAAGCTTCTTTTTTTTAATCATAATTTCCTTCTTTTCATTATATTACAAAAGTGAGATCATGTATATTCATGAAGTGCTAAAAGTTGGAATGGATTTGTTTCACAGAAACAATGCAGGAATGTACTCTCAACACTTGGAGTTCTCAGAAGAGAAAATTGAAATGACATTTGCTACAAATTACCTAGGTACTTCTCCATTCTTACCTATTTTTAATGGTGGGTATCATCTACTCAAGATTGAAAAGCACTGCTAAATCTTTGGCAACCACTAATTCAGCATAATCTGAATGTCGCATCCCTTTCTTTTGCAGCCTTAACAAAAGACAAACATGCACACACGAATTAGAGAAGCAAAGTCAAGCACATAATCAAAAAATAGGCTCAATCAGAGTCCTTGTAACAACCCATTAAATTAGGATGGCACTATGCACAAGTCTTCAAATTCAAACACCGAACATGGATAATAATTTTTTTAAAAATCTTAATGATATTTACTCATTCTAAATTTCTTATTGGGAAGGTATGCTTTTATACAGATAATTCTAATATCCAATTCAGAATATATTATATAGGGCAGGCTCTTTTTGAGTTTAAAAAAAAAACTCGATAAATTGTACTAAAGAGTATTTTAAATCAATCGAAACTCTCATTCACATTAATAACTAGATAGTGCCTTTTATTTTTGCTCATAAAAAGTTTATATCATATAAGAAAAAAAATCAGAAGTGACATATAAAGTGACTTTGTTTAAGGCCTTCCAAAATATATATGAAAAAAAACAATAATTTAATGTTATTGGGCTACATCGTCATTTTGGACAAACTTTAGCTTTCATTTTGGTCAACAAATACCAAGAACAGCATGCGCCATTTCTAATATGAAATGCTTCTGTTGATGCTGTTTCGTTGTGATTATTCTAATTCCAAGAAATTACCTGGCAGAATTGTTGAAGATAAAACTGTAAAGGATACAGATAATAATAATAAAACCCTAATATTTTCTTTATTTTTTCTTTTGAATTGCAGGTCATTTCTTGTTAACAAAAATGCTACTAGAGAAACTGATAGATACTGCAATGAAGACTGGCATTCAAGGCAGAATAATAAACATTTCCTCTGTGATTCATAGCTGGGTGAAAAGATCTGGCTTTTGTTTCAACGACATGCTCTGTGGAAAAAAGTACAATTTCTTCTCTGCAAAATTAAGAACAAGTTTGATTGTATTGAATTTGAACACAAATCATTGTAATTCTCTTTTAAATAACAAATGCAGTTATAATGGCAGACGCGCATATGCTCAGTCAAAATTGGCCACAATTCTGCATGTGAAGGAAATGGCCAGACAGCTGAAGGTTAGAATGAGACCCAAACTTTCTATTACTGTACTTGTTATTTGTGCTGAATAATGATCATAATGCCATTAAAGTAAAACTTTGTATGCTTCGCTAAAACATTCTTGGAAATTGGGATATGATCACAGGACAGGAATGCAAATGTCACGATTAACGCAGTGCATCCAGGCATTGTGAAAACGGGAATTATTAGAGCACACAAGGGCTTAATAACGGGTAAGTACTAAGCTCAATTGATTTCCTTCTCTCATTTTTATAAGGTTGAAGCCACTAAATACTCCTAAAACTTCCTTGCAGATTCCCTGTTTTTCATTGCATCCAAGTTATTGAAAACCATATCACAGGTTTGTAAACATTTTAGTACTTATTTGGTTAGAACCCAGAATCGATTCACCTATTTCGATTAGGCACTTGGTAGTACAATGCGAGTAGCAGTATTTACGTTAACGCGTGTCTGCAGGGTGCATCAACGACGTGTTATGTTGCTCTAAGCCCACAAATAGAAGGGGTGAGTGGGAAATACTTTACAGATTGTAACGAGAGTAGCTGCTCAAGTCTTGCAAATGACGAATCCGAAGCTAAAAAGCTATGGAACGACACTCATGCCTTGCTTCACAAACGGCTACGTCAAGCAGCAAGTTGAAGTCTTCGTCCCTATCCCCACCCTCCTTTTTCTAGATCAAAAGTCTTCTACACAAACACAATGTGTATATATAATATAATTGTCTATTTACGTTAAGTAGCAGCCATTAGAAAGTTCTAAAAGGCGAGCCAAAACAACACCATACTCAAGGGACTTTAGACTAATACCCTTCTCTGTGTAACTTGCGTTGATTTTTGTACATACTTGTTACCAGAGGAGTGTCCGTGGTGAAAAGACAAGTAAACATCCAAATAAAATGTCACTATTTTTTCACAAAACTACAAAATTGTTATGAGTAATGCTGTTTTTACTTACAATTTTACAATTTTTACGGGAGAGAGAGGAAGAAAAGAAGAAAGAGAAGCAGAGATAAATAGATCATCTGACAAAAAGAAAAGGAAGAAAGTGTTGCGAGAATGTAAAGTAAAAATAACTCCATTTAAATGCTATCATCTGAGGGGAAAGTTGATCACACCATCAAACATGTTGGGATAATTTTAATATAACCGTTGATAATAGAATGGTGAGTAAAAATAACATTTGTTTATTTATAAAGAATGTAAGTATATAAATGAAAAGAGTTATTTAATGAATTATTTAAGATTAACTCATTGAAAATTAAATTAAGATTATTTATTTAATGATTGTATTAATTTTAATTTTTAGAATTAAGTTTAAATATTTAAAATTAAAAAAAGTTATTGAATAAAAACATATTTATGTATGTTAAAGTGATAATAAATATTTCTTTCAATAAAATCTTGCAACTAATAGTTATTTATACTTATCTCTAAATGAACATTTAATGTATAAAATATTTTTTATTCTTGCCTAATTATGTTTACTTGGAAAGTTAAAAATACATTTGGTATATCTTATATATTTTAGAATATTATATAATGTTTCGTAAAATGTTTTGATATCATGTTTAGTTTAAATATTATTTCTTAAAAGTAATAATATTTCTTTTAAAAACATTTGTTTTTAATTATTCTTTTATTCTTTACGATAATTCATAAATTTTATTTATACAGTTAATTAAATTTATGTTTATTTAAACATTTCAAAAATTAAAAAGTTTAAAATAAAAAATAATAAATGACCGTGTGTGCATGTAAGTGTAAAAGGATAAAATTATGAATTATATACAAATAAGATGAATTTCATCATCAATTATATATATATATATATATATATATATATATATATTATCAATTAGGATCTATTAATAATAAATGTCAAATTTACACACTTATATCATTTAATAACATTTTACTAAATGTAAGATTCATTAATTTAACCATTGAATCATATTATCTTTATAATTATTTATATTAAATTTCATATAAAATAAACAATTGTAGATATATTATTTAAATTTTGATATTTAATTATATTTTAAAAATTTGTTACGTATTAAAATAAAGTAATACAATCAAGTATTATCAATTATATTTTTTATAAAATTAATCTATAATCAACTATTTTATATAGTAGTAAATATTGAACTTTAAAAAAATAATACAGAAAATAAGTAAGAATAACAAAAATTAGAATGTTAAGATAGATGAGTGATTAGATAAAAAAAGATATGATAAAAAATGATAATATATATAATAATATTAGAATTGTATATGATTGAAAATCGTTTAAAGTTTATAAAAGAAAAAAATTAATATAAATAATAAATAAAATTTCTATAAGTTAAAAATAACTTATCTTTTTAAATTTTAAAAAAATTAAATGAATTTTTTAAAAAAATTTAAATGAATTTTTTAAAAAAAATTTCTATTATAAGTTATTTTTAATTTATAAAAAAATATTTAATTTTTATACTAATTTTTTTTCATATAAAAACTTCTATAAAAATTTACTAAACAAGGCCTAAAATTATTTGATCACATGGAGAGAACCTTTAGAACTATTAACAAAGACAGCAAATGTCATGACTTTCGGTTTAATAAAATAGAGTAAAGAGAAATTCAAAAGAAGCTTAGAAAAGAAGTTATTAAAAAAAAATTTGATTACACGTATTTCTAAAATATATTATATATTAAAATAAAGTATTAAAATAAAATTTATTTTAATTTATTTTTGCATAAAATTTTATAAATTTAACAAACACCTTTAAACTAGTAGTTATATCAGTTAATTTCATATTCTATAAAAAAGTTAAATAATGTAAATATTTAAATTTAACACATGATGTTTATAGATATTAATTGTTTGTGTAGTATTAAATGATACTTTCGTCTAAATTGAATGACATAAGTAGTAATAGTACAACAACATCAAATAATTTTTTATTATAAATTATAATATAAATTAACAATAGAGGTCTTAAATAGATAATAACAAGATAGAAAAATAAAATAAAGTACATTTAAATTTGAGTATAAAGAGTGTGGTTATATTTTTATATTATAAAAATATTGCCTTCACAAGAACCTTATATTCACATTCCTTCAATAAAAAATTTTAAAAAATTAATTTAAAATAAATTCATTTTAGTTTCTTGAGAATTTTTTTTTAAAAAATATTCATACTAAACGTGCAAATTTAGCATTCATACTTTAAAATTCTTTAAAAAAATTCAAAAATCCCCCTATCAAATACCTCCTAAAAGTTAAGATTAACATTTTTTAAATTAAATAAAATCAAACCTAAAACTATACCAAATTATTTATAGAATTTTGAAATGATAAATTTTTATTTTTATTTCTTAACATGTGTTATTAAAACATAAAAATGAAGTGATAGAACATTATAGTGTACTATTTTATTTATTTTCTAGCAATTAACATAAAAATATATGGTATATACTAAATAAACAACTTATTAAAAAATCAATAAATAAAAAAATTAAGCCACAAATGAATTAGTGAAGCCAAGTTTACACTTTAAATTTAGCAATTAATAATATATATATTTTTAACTAGTTTGGACTTTTTAACTCTGAGCTCAAGTTTTATTTCAAAAACTCCTAGAATATATGACAATCAGTGCTTTTTTCTCCCTCTCAAGTCTCAATGTGCTACACTTTGCTTGGATGATAAAAGAAATTGTTAGTAGGTGGCTCAGTTTGTCAAATTTTGTAGGCAGCAACTTTGTTTTTTTTTCAACTTTGTAGGTACCGGCATTTCAAAATCTGTAGGCATTGAATTTTGCATTTGGTAGGCACCGAATTGCTACAGTAATTGTTGAAAAACTTTACAAAATTTTGCCTATAAATACCCAGTGTAAGAATGAATGAAGAACATACGGAAATCGATCATTCACTGATCAGAAGAAGAATTTGAGAGTGTTATTTTGTAACTCTTATTCCATTCTGAGAGAGTATTTATTGAGAAAAAAAATAGAGTGATTTATTACTCTTTGTCTTCATAATTTTAGAGGACTTTTTGTACTCTCCCTTTTACATAGTGGAATTATTTTGCTCGTCGTTGTCCGTGGATTTTTTTCTCCGATTTGGAGTTTTTCCCACGTTAAAATTTTGTCTCCATTATTTTCTTACTTCTCTTTATTTCCAATTAAATTCGATCCAGTCTTCCGCATTGAGTTGATACCCCAACAAGTGGTATCAGAGCAGTTATTTAATTGGAAATGTCTACCGTTACAAAATTTGACATTGAGAAGTTTGATGGCAAGATTAGCTTTTCTATTTGGAAAGTCCAAATGAGAGTTAAAGAAAGCTTTAGATGGAAAGTTAAAAAAACCGGCTTCTATGACCGATGAGCAATGGGATGAGTTGGATGAAAAGGCGCTTTCAGCAATCCAACTTTGCTTGTCCAAGGAGGTTCTACGTGAAGTGGCCGATGTAACCACCGCTGCGGAATTGTGGTTAAGCTTGGAAACTTTGTATATGACTAAAAGCCTCGCCAACAAGCTTCGTCTCAAGGAGCGATTATATACGTTCCGTATGATAGAAGGTACTCTCATTCAATCTCATATTGATGAGTTTAATTCTATTATTATGGATCTACAAAATATCGATATTAAAATCGATGATGAAGATAAAGCTGTTTTGTTAGTTGTCTCTTTACCTTCTACCTACAAACACTTCAAAGAAATTATGTTGTATGGTAATAATGATACCTTATCATTTGAAGATGTTAAATCTAATTTATTGTCCAAAGAAAAATTTGATCTTGAAATTCATTCTGAAGACAAGGGTGAGGGTCTAAGTGTTAGAGGTAGAATTCAAGTCAAAGGGAGTACTAGTCACAAAAAGAGTAGATCCAAATCTAAGGGACGAAAATTCAACACTACCTGTCGTTATTGCAAAAAATATGGGCATGATATTTCTGATTGTTTTATCTTAAAGAAAAAAGAAGAAAATAAACAAAAGAAAGAAAAAGGTAAACAACTTGTTGAAGCTGCTAATATTGAGACTGATTCTGATGGAGATGTTATGGCATCTGTTGTCTCTTCTGACAAGAGAAGTAAAAATAAGTGGCTTCTTGACTCTCCATGCACATACCACATGTGTGCTTATAGGGATCTATTTACCACTTTTGAACCAATTAATGGTGGTATTGTCTTAATGGCTAATGATACCCAATGCAAAGTTGAAGGAATAGGTACTATTCAGATCAAGGCTCATGATAGTGTTGTCAGGACTCTGACTAATGTTCGCTTTATTCTTGAATTAAAGCGAAATCTTATCTCTCTTGGCACCCTTGAATCTCTTGGGTGCAAGTTTTCATCTGAAGGTGGAGTCCTAAAGGTATCAAAAGGTGTCCTTGTTTTGTTGAAAGGTAACCGAGTTGGTACTTTATATTTCTTGCAAGATTCTGTTGTGACAGGTTCAGCAGCTGTATCTTCTTCTATGCTTGATAATGATGTCACCAAATTATGGCACATGCGCCTGGGCCATATGAGTGAAAAAGGCATGCATCTTTTGAGCAAGCAAGGTCTCCTTGGTAATCAAGGTATCGGTAAGTTGGAGTTTTGTGAACATTGTGTCTTTGGGAAACAGAAAAAAGTAAGTTTCTCTACTGCAACTCACCGTACAAAGGGTATTCTTGATTATATTCATTCTGATCTCTTATGGAGGACGTCGTTATATGATGAATA